GGCGGGAACGATCTGACGGCCGCGCTGAACCCGCCGACGGGCAATATCGTGCTTGCGAGCCACGATAATGTCTATGCTCCCGGTGGCCAGAGCGTGTTCCGCGACCCGGTCAGCAACCGCGATGTTATGGTGTATCACTACCAGAAGCTTGACGGTCCTATCGGTGGGCCGTCGTACCTCGGCATCAACTACCTCAGCTTCACGTCGGGGTGGCCCGTCGTCGTTGCTTGAAGGGCATGACTTCGGTGTACATCTCTTGTTCATTCTGCCATTGGGTTGTATTGGGGTCGAGTTCTCTTGTATGTACGGTTACATGGGGAACCAATCGGGCGAAATGTATTGCACGGTGTTCGGGTTCCGTCCACATGGTCGTCTGTCGTCCACGACTGCCATCAGTTCTTTCCTGTGAAGAGTACCAGGCGCAAGACTGAGGAGCACTCTTGAATACGATTTACCTATCACCCCCCCTGCGCGAGCAATTTGCAAACCAGCAAGGATCAGCCTTTCGATCGAAGGAGTTTGCCGAGCCGTCAAGACGTTCGACAGTCAAGAATTCAAGAAAGTACACGATACAAATACAGGACAAAATCAACAGTCGTGGCATGTGGAATTCCGGGTTATAGACAGATTCTTGTGGGATTGACTCATATGTAGTCGAGGGCCGGGCGTCGGGCAGATCATCGTCAGGGTGAAGGATGAAGGGCGTGATACGAGGGGGAGCGGGGTAGAGGTAGATGAACGAATGCGGAGAAGACAGGGTGGAGGGGCATGGAGTACAACGACGGAGCAAGCGGGACAGCAAAGCGAGAGCGAGAGCGAGTGGATGCGGGGTGGCATGAACACTGTACCGAGTACTCGTACATATCGAGCAAAGCCAGCCTGCACATCGGTCAGCACACAGACATCAACTCAACGAGGGGCACCGGACGTACGCTTGAGACCTTATCCAACGAACCAGTTTAGTACTGAGCGCTAAGCAGCTAAACCGCCACCCTCGCCCTCTTCGCATCCCCATCCGGACTCGGGATCGTCTCCAGATCCTCGCTCCGCCTCTTCGCCATCCTAGTCTGCGTCTGCGCCTCGCCCTCGCCCTCATTCCCCACAACCGCGCCTGGCTCAGTGACCAGCTCCAACCTCGCGCGCTTTGGTGGTGTTCCCTCCGGTGGCGGCGTAGCGAGCCTTAGCGCAGCTCTAGGTGGCGTCGCATCAGGCGGTATACCCGCGCTTTGCCTGCGCGAGACAGCGGCGCGCAATGCGGACGAGTCTTGAGGGCCCCGCTGGGGATCAAAGTCCTCTGTTCTTGATTCCTCTTGCACCGTGACGGATACAGGCCTCTTCCCGTTCGCGTTGAGTCCACCCGTAGCGTCCAGCCCCGTCGGAGGCGACTGTAAGCGGTACAACGGCGCAGGCGCCGCAGCGAGGTTCGCAGGCCGATGTTGCGCGACGGGCCGCTCAACATGTACATCCATATCCTCGTCCGAGTAGTCTGCAGTGTCGCTATCCATACTCACGCCCCAATCATCGTCCTCGTCGTCCATATCGTCATCGTCGTCGTCCTGCCCAGCCTGCGGCAAGCGCACCTGCACGAGCGGCGGCTGGCTCGGCACCGTAATCTGACTCTGCCCCTGTCCTTGATGTTGACCCTGATGTTGCCCCTGCGTTTGGGCTTGCTGCCCATAATGCGCCCCGCGCGCCCTTGCGCATATGCTGCACGTGCATGTATATAACGGCGCGCTGGCCTCGCGCCACAGCGAGCGGATAATCGCGATGCTGTTGTCCGGGATGCCGACGAGCGTGCGCGGGACGTAGGGGATCGCGCGGAGCATGTTGTCTGGCGCGGGCGGGGGCACGCCGGTCTTGGCCTTTTCTTCCTTCTCCACCCTCTCCCTCTCCCTTGCGCTATCGCTCTCGTTCTCCGCGTCGAGCCCGCCTTCGCCCTCGATATCCCTTAGCGTCGTGTCGCCGTCGTTATCGTTATCGGCGTCGGAGCTGGCCATGTCCGCGTCGTCGCTTTTGGGCGGTGGCGAGGGCGTGGTGAGGACCGTGCTGGAGCTCAGGACGGGGCTCGTGGCGTCCGTCTCGGCGCTCTCGACGCTGCTGCTCGCGCTGGGACTCGTGCCCGTCGTAGTAGCCACCGTTCTTCGTGGGGGCAGGACCAGAGGCGGGCAGCACACCGCGTCGAGCTCTTTCGCCCAGGCGTAGGGCTGTTGCAGCTCCCGCACGACATCGTGCACGCTCATCCTCGCCGCTGTCGCTGCTGGGTCTGCCGCGGTCAATAGTAGTCGTTTGGCGACGTTGTGTAGCGCGGGACCGATGATGGCCGACATCTGCGAGGTGAAGCTCGAGTAGAGCTGTTGCGCGAGCCTATACGTCGGCGCGCGTCGTGTGGATATACTCTTCTGCGTCGGATGTATGCCATCTGCGCTCGGAGGCAGAACCGGGGAAGACGAGTTTGCAGTGCCGAGCGTCCACGGCGCGGGGTGCTCCGCGCGTCCAACTGTGCGCTGCACCTCGTAATAGTCATCTCCCGGACTGACCCAATGTCCGTCGAGTATCCTCGTCCTCGCCCAGTCCGTCGCGGCCATATCTCTCGCCTGCAGGAAATGTTCAGGCTGCGCGAGATCCGCCACCGCCTCGTCGTCAATCTCGTCGTCCTCGTCGTCGTCCTCCATATCGTTCCCTTGCGCCACGTCTTCTAATCTCTCGAGATACCGCGCCGTGGCCACTGCTTCGCGGGTAAACTCGTTGACGCGCGTATGCTCCAACAGCCACTGCTTTTCCCTGATACACCGCACGACCTCGTCGACCGTACCCTCCCCGGCATCGACGAACCAGTCCATAGACTGATCCGACTCGGGGTCGTGCAGCGCCCAGCGCGCCAGGCCAGACGCGCGAATAACACGGTCAAGCGCCTGTTGGCGACACGAGCGGCAGGTCATAGCCACGTGCGGAAACATGCGTGCGTCGTCGTTCGCATACAGCGACAGCGCGAGCTGGTCCTTCCTTGGTGCGGGCCACGGCGCGGGCTCGCGGAGACACGAGCCGCAGAACGCCGTGCGCCGGTGGTCGCGGCATAGCGAGAGCGTGCCGAGCGCGGCGCACCACCCCTGCCGACGTGCCGCGGAGGGGAGGTCGAGGCCGGAGAGCGTGTGCGGGCGGTTTATTCGGCATACGGCGCACGAGAGGGCGTAGGCGCGTTTGAAGTGTTTGTAGGCCGGGATGGCTATTGGCGGAGGGGCGCGCGCCGAGGACGGAGGGGGGTATATCACTCTGTACCGGTCGTACGCGCCGTTCGGGTCGATCTGGCCGGTCGCGTTGTCCCAGAAGCCGTTGTTTTCGACTGTATTGTTTTATGAGCACAATGCGGCACCGGCTGTGGCCAGTGTGGACGGGAAAACTCACGGGCGTCGTACCAAGACGGGCAGACGTACATGAGCCTCTCGAGCTCGGTGGCGATCCGCAGATGGACATATACATTGCGGGACTCCCACGTGTCGCGCTCTGCGGTCCAGCTGTCGGGCGTGTCCATGGACGCGTAGACGGCGGCGAGGAAATGGCGGGCGATCAGCCTAGGCTACGATGAGCTCTTACCCGGTGAACCACCGGCGGGGCAGCGCGCACCCAAGGACGTCTGCGGGCAGCTGCGGCCACGACCTCTGAAGCTTGCCCTTGTGCAGCACCACCGCGGCCGACGACGACGACATTTGTTCGTTCGTTTTGATCGACGCGACGTCGACGGAGAGGAGATAGTCAGGTCACGAAAGGCGCGTCGCGTCACGGCTCAACAAGTTGGCCAGCGCCTCGACTCCTTCTCACGGTTTGGCCGACACGTGTGTCAGAAGGACAAAAGAGAAAACGCCCCACACAGCCTTGCTGACGCGAGTGGGAGCGCGCGGTCGGAGCCTCGCGATAGGGCCTCGATGTTGAGTGTCGCGATGAGCGCACAAAGGGAGCGACGATAAGCGGTGAGGAATGGACGATGGGCGTGAAAGGGAAGTCGATGTCCGGGCTACTGATGGCGCTCGACGCGTGATGTCATCCGCTCACAGTCAACAGAACCGGCGGCGCATCACTCCCGCCGCATACGCTACTTACTACTTCTTCCCGCTCAACCACCACTTGCACGTTCTCTCCCATGCCTTCATGACTCGTACGAGACGAGCACAACTACAGCTGTAATCCTACCTCTTTCCGTCCTCGTCGCGCGCATCGCCCGCCCAGAAGATCCCTCCAGATCTGATGGACAGGCTCCTTTGTTTCAGCCCGTGCTTCTCCGGCATCTTCCCGAGGAGAGCATGGGAAGCACGGAGCACCGCTCGACGAACATGAACGTTCCTCCCTTCCTCAAACGTATTCAAGCTCCCCCGTCACCACTGCAGTTGACACATATATCCTACAACCCTTCTTCTCGGACGAGTCTCGCTTGCACCCCAGAATTTCTCGGGCTTTCGCGGTGCATGTCGGGCTCCGTGGTGGATCTGGGCTCCTCGCCGCGTGTTCTCGAGCTGCGCGCTTCTCACATACTAGGACGTGTTTGGACAGGCGCATACTACGTCCTATTTTGAGGAGCTCAGGCTTGCTGCAGGGCCAGTACCCGCTATCGGTGTATCTGAAGGCTATCAGGACTCTATTCGACCCGACGTTCTCTCTGCGCCTGCGCCAGAGGATTGCCTAGCAGAACTGAGCAATAACGACGATGCGAGTTGCAAGGATCTTAAACGCACGTCTACCTCAATCTCCGCTCATATACAGGATCCATTCTACGCCCATAAGATCACTTCACAAGATTGGGTCCCGAACTTCGCTCTGTGTCCATTCGGGCCATCTCGCTCAGCGGAGGATGCCTCCATTGGCCGGCTCAGACAGCAGATTCACCCGAGAAGATCATCAGCCAGTTATAACCTTCTTCATATCCGTGTAGCTTGTACAGGACAATGACGAGCATTCATAGAGGATGCAACCGTCACTCGCGGAGATGTATGTATTCCGCCCCATCAGGCTAGTAATGAGGAGCCTCCGCTCAAGAGACTTTCATTCTTGCGCGCTTTGGACCCCATACTTCATCATTCGCGGGATTTACTTTCGTTGCTCGAGCACGCGCCTGCGCCCTGACGAAGCAACAGCCTAACATGAATCAGGTTCGTACCATGGATACATTCAGAGTTCACGTTTCTTGTCCTGAACAGCGTACTCAAGTAGGTTTACATAACTGGAGCGCTCACCTCTTCTCAAAGAGCCTAGTACGTGCCCCACGCAAGGCAGTCCATCACCACCCACGCACCGCCAAAGAGACTCGCCCTAACAGCATGTCACCATATTGACGCCCACCCTCTTCTCCCGCCACAACATAATCTCCCACGCTTTCGTCCACGTATGTCGTGCCTCTCCCACCGAGTACGACTCGTACCTTTCATGGCACCTGGCTATCACTGATCATCTTCTCCGTGCTAGGACATGTAAACTCGTGTTGTAGGATTGCCTATGCGCATGATCGTTGGGCTTTATGCCCTTTACCCTGCTGCCAAACGTAGCTTTAAGGATGGGCAATGAGTGTTCTGCAGACACAAGGGTTCGTTGTAGCCCCAGGTCCTCCACTCGTTCCCAAATCTTCGTCTGTTTCGTGATTCGAATACTTGCGCAAAGATGAGCAGCACGCAATACATGTGGTGCGCATCCTCACCTCAGCTCATCCGCACCGTAAACTGATACTCCTCTAGGAAGGAGCTCTGCGTGCAGATATCCGGTTCGTCTTAGCGAAGTGTGGCACCTCAAGCGTATGCGCTCACGATCCGTTTTACCTAGAGCTTGCCGACGCAACGGCGGCCGAGAACGAAGAGCTCATCGCAACAAAGAAAAAACTCGAAGCTGAGCTCCAACAGCTCAAACGTACGACTACAACCGGATTCGGGACCCACCGCATGGTGTCAAGCGCCAGCGCCGCTCCCGGGCCTGATGGTGTTCGTACCTCCCTCGAAACGCGCGCCTGATCGAAGGCTGATTGGCTTCTCTCTCCAGCCCTCGCTAGCGCTATGCGTCGTAGACGGCTGGCGCACCTCGTTCGCCGTGCGTTTCGTCAAACAAGGTGAAGCCGGTGGCCGCGCAGCAGGCCAAGCCCTCCTGCGCGCGCTGTACACGGAACTCGAGCTCCCTCCCGGTATCTCGGACGCTCAGTTGCCTGTGTGGACGAGCGTCTTTCTCTCAAGCCGCGCGCTCGTTGCTGGACTCGTAAAGCAGGAGACTTGCTCGTCCGACGAGATTGAAGGGTTTGTGAAGGGGCTCGTGCAGTCGCATAAGTCTCTGGTGCTTGTTGATGTTGCTAGTAAGAAGGACGTTGACGAGAAGATGAGAGGTTCGTTGCGAGTCTGAGGTCGTATGCATTGAGACTGAGCAGACGACAGCGTACATGACGACCTTTTCGCGTCTTCCGCAGGTTAAGCGCGTCTTCTTCGCAGGTATGCACAGACACCTTCTCGTCTACACTATGACTGGATGAGCTCATCTTCATATAGGCGGATTCGCGTCACCCTTCGCCTCCATCGCACGCGAGCTCCCCTACGACAAGCTCGTCTTCCTCCGCAACAAAGGCTCCGCGACGCCCCCAGCCATGGACCCAAAAGTGCCCGTCCTATTCCTCGAAGACGTGTTTGCGGACATGTCCCTCTTCGACACCACCGTCAACCCTACGTCACCCGCTTCACCCGTCACTGCGCCGAGCCCGACGCCGCCGCTGTTCTCGCCTGGTCTGTTCAGTGGGTCTATGACACGTGCTTCTGGAGGGCGACTGGGAGATGATATGCTGCGGTCGCCTATGTCAGTCCTGTCTGAGGATGAGCGGCCTGTTCCTGTGATTGATACTACGCTGGTAAGATATCTCCATCGCTAGAGCGAAGTAAGCTACTCACGAACGTTTCCAGCCACTGAACAAACAAGTTCCCCCGCCGTGCTATCTTCACTACCTCCTGGGGAAATGTTCTCACGGTGTACGCCTTCCTCCATACTCTACCATTCGAGTTGGGACGTATACTCATGGATGATACAGGGAATCTGCACTTACGAACACCGCTACGAGCTGACCGAAACGCAGCTCAAACAGCTGCGCCAGCTCGCGAAGAAACAGCCGTGCGCGTTCGCGGCGAAAGGTACGTAGCTCCGTTACTCACATGGTTGCATGGAGCTGATGGTATGATTACTAGGCCAAATGTGTCTGTTCGACGAGCAATGCGTGTACGGCCATGAGTGCCCGTATGGGATCGCGCGCTGCCGGTTCCTTGTCGAGGAGAAGTGTCGCTTCACGAGTACGTAGCAAAGCTGCTGAGGGTTGTGTATTGATGCTAACGTGCGGCATGGTTTAGGGGAGATGCACAAGTAGTCTAGCCACAGGTGAACGTCTCCGAGTTGGTGAAAGCTGCGAAGTTCGAAGAAATGTTATGTTGTCCGAAGGCGCTGGCACCTCTATATGCGCATGCACCTGCTGCCAAGGATAGGAGCCGCTTCTGTATCAATGTTCTGTAGCATCAGAGTATCACGAAGTTCAATTACTGGTCTGGTAGTCGTAACGAATATATGTCATGTTTTACCTCGATAAGACACAGGCCTTGATCGCATCGTCGGCCTATACTCATGAAGTGATCCTCGTATACTAGGCTGCTGCCATAGCAGCGTGCAACCATGCCTGTACATCCGGGGACTGCTTCCTGAGGAGCCGTTAGAATATTGCGATTAGGGGCTAAACGCGCCCACGTGACCAACACGAGGCTCGAACCGCCACGGCCCATCATTGCCGAGAGCGCGATCAACCACTCTTCTCAGTCAACCACGACCACCTCCATCGGCTTCTCTACCTGCATTGTAGCGTGCCTGTCACTATATAAGTCGTTTCTCCCTCGGTGAGTGAACTTGCCTTCTCCCATCCGCGTCTCGCACTTCCTACCTCTACTACTTCTCGAACTCATCTCCGACCATGGGCAGGCAACAAGTGTCCACCACCAATACAAAGAACCCCGAACTTCGCACATTCTCCAGTATACCCAACAAATCCACCACGACGCCTAATCGCCACTCGCTCTCCGGGTCGTCGCGCTGGGGTCTCTTCGGGCACGAGAACGCCGCGACCACCTACAACAAGCTCTCCAGCGAGATGCGCGACTCTTACGTCGGCAACATGCCTCTGGAGGTCCTCTTCGGTCAGATCCTGACCGCCTCTGTACCTCGCGACAAAACTCTCCATCCCGACATGGACTTCACCGAGGTTTGGACGAGCGTGGATGCGACGGACAACCACATCATCACTTATAATCCCAGGACCACCCTGATCATGGTGCGCTTGTCTTCTTGCGCGCACTTCAGAACTCTTTCACTGACGTAGGTCAGGCTAAGGTGATTAACGAAAGCGGCATCTGCCCTCACATTCACTTCGCCTCCACGGAGAACTGCCATCTCGACCAGGCCGGGCCACTCGCACCTGGCGATGGTCTCGAGCGTCGCAAGGTGGACCTCAGCGGCTTATACGTCTCCGATCCCCAGCAACCACACAAGACTGCTCCTGACTTCGCCACCATGCGCCTCCCCATCGAGCTGAAGCGCAAGATCGAAGATATCGTTGTGAACGGCAACGCGAAGTGGACTTCGGCACAGCGCAAGCAGCAGGGTCTTCCGCACCAGACCGCACCCGCTATCCACGCCCGTGGCCAATCATCATCCTATGCCCTCAACCAGCAACAGCAACAAGCGCTCACTCAATCGTGGAGCATGGTCATCGCCGGCGAAACGGCGCGCATCCTCATCTTCGATCACAGCGGCGTGATCGTGACGGAGAGCTTCGACTGGAAGACTGGAAGCGTCTTCACCGAGTTCTTGTGGCGGCTGGAGCGGGCTTCCGCTGAGGTTGTTGGGCTCGACGACTCTGTGGTTGAGGGTCCGTTGTCCGAGAGCGTAGAGAGTGCCGCCCGCGCAGCTTTCGAGGACCTCAATAAGAGGGACTGTGCGCCGTACAAGGTCACACCGGACGAGCCACTGCGCACTGTGCGCGTGTGGGACGAGGGCGAGATGGTAGATGGCGAACCGAAGGTCCGCGAATACGTCGCGACGTATCCTGTGGAGCTCCCGCCGTCGCTCGTCAGCCGGTGGACAGTCGGATACCTCGCATACGACATTGCTACCAGGGCCGTGCACTGGATCAAGGACTCGTGGCGACTTGCGGTCCCGGAGTTCGACAAGGAGGGGTTGACGTACCAGCGCTTGAAGGAGGCGGGCGTGCCCAACCTTCCTGTGGTGGTGAGCGCCGGCGATGTACGCTGGAAGAGCGGGGTGGTGCAGACGACGCGCGCGCATCAGTACACCGGCGCCGACTGGGCGCACTTGACGCAGAACGTCAATCCGCTGGTTCATTACCGCATTGTCTTTGCGACGATTGGGAAACCACTACTTCGGTTCAACTCCTTCAAACACTTCTGCGAGCTTCTCCTCGAAGCGCTCAAAGGTGAGCCTAAGCAATTATTGGAGTGCATGCGTGTACTGATATAAGCGGCATTAGCTCACGCCGTGGCGTACGAGAAGGCGAAGATTCTGCACCGCGATATCAGCACTGGCAACATCCTGATCGACGAACACGGTCACGCTCTTCTCATCGACTGGGACCTCTGCATGGACATCACGAAAGCGGCGGCACGGAGGCCGTGGCGCACGGTGCGTAATACGCTCTCATACTCGGATATTGATACTGACGGGACGACTTGCAGGGAACGTGGCAGTTCATATCGGCAGCGTTACTCAGTCTACCTACAGTCAAAGCGCACCAGCTTCGTGATGACCTGGAGTCGTTTTACTGGGTTCTACTCTACGTGGTAAGTCACGTTTGATGCGTGTAACCTGAGAGATGAGTCTCATGAGGCTGGCGCACACAGGTCCTACGGTACCGCTATATTCCATCAAAGTATGTGGAAGACTCGGACCGGCATAGGCGTTACATGGTGCGTCTCAGCCTCAATACCTATCTGCTCATGGGCTTACATCTTTTATTCTACAGTCTCTTCTGTTCGACTTCGTAGAGAAAAGCGGGCCGCTTTCTCGCGGCGGCTTCCGGAAGCAGCACTACCTCAAGAAGACCGGCGAGCATCTGTCCGACGCTGATTTTGATGAGATGAAGGATGCAGACGGCGCTGAAATACCCGCTGCCCTTCCTTGGCTTCTGGCTACTTTACGCGATGACCTGGCCAAGCTCTACGTCGAAACGTCTCCGGAGAGGAAACCAAGTCTCAAACGCAAGGCGCCATCACAGGCCACAAACGTTCCCCCGCCAGCCGGTGGTACTACTGGACCGCCGCCGTCAGCACCGGTGGTGATGGGTCCCTTTGATTCGTCGGACTACATAATCTCTGTCTTCACGGAGGCTTTGGAGGAGGGTGATTGGCGAGATGATGATTCGGCATGCGATCGCTTCAAGGACCTCAGTCCTCCCCGTCGCGCCCGTTTACGGCTTCAAGACATCGCCTTACCGCCCCCCGTCATTTTGAACGCTTCAGTCTCCAACCCGGAACTTCTCCATCGCAAACATGAGCTTGACGCCACTCTCACTCTAGAGGAGCATGAGAAGAGCATCGAGAACAAGAGGGCGACGCGCGCGGTGGCACAGGAACGTCTTGCCACTATCGAAGAGGACGGCGACTTCCACCCCCACCCCATTGTTCGCCACCTGCCACGTACTCCGAAACGGCGCAGACTGGAGGATAACCGAGCGGGTTACGCCTTTAGCGCAGCCGCTAGTCTGGATCTGTCGGGTCGTCGATCCACCAGCCCCAGCGAAGACGCTTTACCGATGCCTCCACGCCCTCCCAAGGACTGGTATCCTTAGCATATCGGCTTCATCATCTGATACTTGTAGTTCTCTGGGTCTGTGATGTCATATATTATACGCTATGATAAGGTTTCGCTCTGGATAACAGCCCCTTGAAATTGGGCGAACAAGACAGAACCGCCTGCCTGAGCCCGCAATCCCAGCTCACCTGACCGCGTTGACCGTGAGACGCACAACGGCCGCGGACTGCGCACGCCGTCTTCGTCTCGGCGCGATCTTGCTTCGTACATCCACCAGCAACCGCTCCTGGTTCACCCGTGACTGCAATCCTATGTACTTAGCGACGTGTCAGCATTACATAAGCTATGTGTATCCTTGCTTCCGTCGGACGATCCGACGCAGGGTCGACCCGCCGGAAGGTCGTCAACGTCGGATTGGTGCAAGAGGCGGCGTTTTGGTTCATGTCGCCCCATTCTTGCTTCTCCTTGTATACGTTTTCGCACCAGCAGTTGTTATGGCGCGGGTGTATGACATCCGCATGTCAACTAATCTTAATCCATAAAGAGTCTGCAGCCTCGGACGGCATGCCAGTCGTCTGATACTCAGCTTCATCCCCTACTAACCTGCCATATTCGTCGGTCATGGCCTCTACAATGATGGCGACGATGTGCATCGCTATCCTGGCTCTACTGTGGAAACCTTTGCGAGGGCTCTATCGTACTTTCCTATCCCCTCTCTTGTCACCTCTTCGAGCTGTTCCTGGTCCTCCCCCGCAGAACTGGTTGTACGGCACAGTCAAGCTGTCGCGTAAACTGGGTCAGTCCGCTGCGCGAGCCCAGTGGGTGCAAGAATATGGGCCTGTTCTCGCAGATTGGTCATTCTTTGGGGTTCGCTCAGTCACATCACCCCTCGTATCAGCTCACTGATCCCCCATTCATAGAGACAGCGACTGATTCTTGCGGACAATCGCAGCATAGGGCATGTACTCACCAACTCGGTGGACTACCATAAGCCACAGTTGGGCAGATTCTTTATCAGTCAGATCTTCGGTGAAGGTATGTGAAAGCGATCCCAACTCCGCCTTGTGAGTACCGATTGACTCTCCGAGTAGGTCTCCTATCCGTTGAAGGGCACGAGCATAAGCGCCAGGTGCGTGCTTTGACATAGAAGGGATGACGTCGCCTTTACACCTTACAGCGTCGAGTTCTGGTGAGCCCAACACAGCGATCTTGAGGATGCTGCTGAATCGTGCACGACTAGAACCCTGCATTCGGACCCGCTCACATTCGCGAGCTTCTGCCCATCTTCTTCGAAAAATCGTTTCAGGTGAGTCTAGAGCACTCGGGATGACCCAAAGACGCTGATTCTGCACAGCTTCGCGATACCTGGAAAGGGAAGATTGCCGAGAGTGGTTCGGCTCGCATCCTCGTCGACGTATTGGGAAATCTTCAGTTGACTACGCTTGATATCATTGGCTCGGCTGGTATGCACGCCTGTGATCATGCGTATGGTGGTGTTGATTGAGTGTCAGGCTTCGGGCTCTCCTTTGACGCCCTGCAGACCGACGAAGAGACGAAGGAGTTGACCGATGCTCTTCGTACGCTGACCAGCAGCGACGCGCCAGGTGTTATGGCGGTTCTACAAGCCATAGTTCCACCTCTCCGACACATCGTAAGTCTCCTCGTATCGATTGGCGTGCAATTGTACTCATGGTTGACTACGGCCCACCCCGTGGACGCGACGCATCGCGAGGGCTCGAGCGGTGTTGAACCGCATCGGAGGTAAACTCATCGACGAACGTAAACGTCTAATCCTCGGCGAATTTGCTCAAGAAAAGGTCAGGCGAGATGACGTGCAAGGCAAGGATATCTTGAGTGTACTGGTGCGCGCAAACCTGGCTACCGATCTCTCCGAGAATGAACGATTGTCGGACGATGCTATTCTCGCCCGTACGTGTCCATTTTGCTGGGTATCTTTCACTCTTCTCAACCCATGAATCAGAAATCCCGACGTTTCTCCTTGCGGTAAGTCTACCACTCCGCATTATCTGTTGAACATACAGCTGATCTACTCAACCTAGGGCCACGAGTAAGACTAGCGCATTGCGACTGGATGCACTCAGCTGAAAAGCGCACAGGACGACTAGCTCCGCAGTCGCTTGGGGGCTACATTCACTTTCTAACGACCAGACGATACAGGATAAGCTCCGCACGGAGCTTCGCGATTGTATTCAAGCGCACGGGCCCACGCCATCTTCAGAAGTACTCAACTCTCTGCCTTACCTGGAGAGGTTTGTGCGCGAAGTCATGCGTTTGCATAGCCCTGTTACATCTGCTTCACGAGTTGCTACGAAGGACGACGTCATCCCTACCGCCGACGATTGGGTCGACATTCATGGAGTCAAACGTTCAGGTGTCCCGTTAGTCGGTGATATTGAGCTACTTCCTGGATATACTCTAACCGCTGCAGGGTCGTTGAGGGCGATACTGTCCTGCTACCGATAGAAATCATCAATCACTCGGTCGCCATCTGGGGACCCGATGCCATGGACTTCCGGTATGTCTCATCATCTCCGGTCTACATCACCTCATCTCATCGTGCACCAGGCCCGAGCGCTGGGAGAATCCCCCAAAGGCCGCATCTGCCATACCGGGGGTATGGGGGAACAGCTTGTCCTTCCTCGGAGTGAGTACTGTAAGTTCATATTTACATACACCTTGTTGACACGCCTGCAGGGTCCTCATGCTTGCATAGGGTTTAGATTCTCTCTCCTAGAGTATGTGATAAGAATTAACTTGTATGCGCTGTGTAACTAACGGCATATACAGAATGAAGGCGCTCTTCTTCACCCTGGTCTCGACTCTCCGGTTCCAGAACGCTGTCGCTCCTGAGAAGGTTTATCGGAGCCTTCTCATCGTCGCTAGACCGGCTATTAAGGGTGAAGAGGACAAGGGAGCACGTCTGCCGGTGTTTGTTTCTCTCGTAGATGAGGAGGTCGAGTGAGCGAGCGATGAGGGTGACATGAGCGATCTTGTGAGGATCAAGTACGGCGACCATCATGTCTAGAAGGCGCGCTGTTTTATGATACACCACACATGCTCTAAAGTCGTCTCATCGGATGAGGAGGAAGGACCATCGCGAAGGGCCCGTCCACGCTCACTACATTAAGACTCGAAACAGCCTCGCGTAGGAAACACGCTCACGTGGGTTTCGCGTCTACGATCGCCATCTCGTAGGAGACTGAAGTACTTGCTTCATTGGCGTCGGAGACACAATCTGAGCGCGTATCCGCACGCGTCTTCATGAGACTTGTCGGTTTGCTTCTTAGCATACGTGCAACTGGGAGCCGCCGGCGGGTTGAGTCTATATGAACATATGACATCATCACATATCAACAGGGCGGGTCAGAGGTGGAGAGTGCTATTGTGAGCTTAGCCGCTCTTTCCCTCACTTCAGCCATGTCACAACCTACCCATCAATCTCAGGACGATCGCGAGCTTGCGGATCGCCTAGCTGCTATCATCGAGGGGACCAATCAACGCGTCAAACCCATCATCCAGAACATTCGCTCGGTAGGCATCCTCATTTCATCTCCTTCCGCGCATAGCTGACCCTTCACGCAGACCATAGAACACTTCAAGTTGGAGAAAGAAGAAGATCGGGACGAGCAGGAGCTCATCGATACCATTCGACCGCTCATTCAAGAGGCGGAAAAGGAACTCTACGAGGCCAATGGCGCCGTACGAGGTGCCGATCCGGACAACCGTCTCAGCAACCGCGCAACTCGCAATTACGAGAACCACACTGCTACACCTGAAGAGCAGCGGCTTGCAGATGCTCTGGGACAGGTAGGTAGCACGCACAGCGTCCCTTACGAGGAAGCTGATGATCAATGTTGCCCGGGCCGGCGCTTAGCTGGCCAAAGACGTCGGCGGCACCATCGAGTGGGCGAAGAACGAGCTTGACAGCATACCAAAAGCAAAGCAGGACCTCGGCCCTCTCTTCGACGCCCTCGGCCAGCCTCTGACACAGATCGTGGGCGCAGTGGGCCTCCTCGTGGGCGGCGTGCTCAACCTTCTCGGTAGAATCGTCAGTGCCGATGCCCCCATCGTACCCAAACTCTGACCGGAAGTGTACAGCTGTCCGGAATCGGGCTCGACGGGGCACTGAAGGAGATCATCGGCTCTATTGGGCTCGACAAGATCTTCAAAGCTGTTGGCGGTGACAAGTGGTTAAACGGCTTTCTCTAGATGGTGGTCCTTGCATGAGACGTATACGCACACACCCACTACGGAGAGCTGTATTGCAACACGGTCACGAAGCTACCCTCATGCACTGCTAAATACTCATGATGATGATGATACACGCAGCACGTATCATCGGCGCACCCAACATTGAAGCTTGATGATTGGACGGGGCGTCGCGCGCCGCGCGCCGCTACTGCGCTAACCCTAACCCTACTGATTTCAAACTCGGCAGGTGATCACTATACATGTTGAAGTCTATGCTACATCGTACAAGCTCCGGTATGCTACACTATGCAATGCACTTCACATCCGTCTCTACCATACCCGAGTCTCTCAACCTACTCCAAATCGTTCGTCGTAGCCCACCAAACCTCCGCACCACCCTCCCCATCACCCACATACCCAACCTTCACCTCACACCCCGGCGCAACGAACACGATCCCGCCCCTCGGCAGCTCCAACATATCATGCTCAACCTCGAACCGCACCCTCTCCCCGCTCGCCACGATCCCGATACTCGGCCCCCGTGCCGCGCGTATCGTATCCGGTTTGCCCGGCTCAAGCACAGAGTGCAGGACCTCGAACTCTGCGAGCGGCGGCGAGATCTTGGTCGTGCGTCCGTGCACGGAGCGCTCGAGGGGTGTTGTGGGGAGGACCCAGTGCGACGGCGGGCGCGAGGTGTATGTCAGCATATCGTTGAACGTGTCGATGTCGCGCTGGGCGGGCGGGACGAAGGCGGTGTTGATGACGTTGTCGGAGGCGGCCATGCACTCGATGATATCTACATCAGGTCAGCTCTGGAGGTCAAGGGCAGGTGGAGGATGTTGGGAGCACGCACCACCCTCGAACCACGCATGCACCTCGTCGGCGCCCACGTAAATCGCCTCGCCCTTCTTCAGCCTGAACAGGTTCATGAAGAACGGCACCGCGAACACGCCGACGTCGCCGGGGTACTGCTCGTCCACCCTCTTAGCGAGCCGCACGAGCGTGTCGACCTCCTCTGGCGGACTAGCACCAGTGCCCTTAAACAGCGCCTGCACATGCCCCTTCATATCCTCATACCCCTCCTTCCCCCTCCTCAACAGCGCATAATACACCCCCCTCAACCCCTCCTGACTCGGCCTATCAAGAAACGCCCGCACAGCGCGCTCGTCGCCGATCGCAGCTCGCAACTCCGGCACGGCGTCCAGCGTGCGCCGGATATCACTGAGCGGCCTGAACCCCGCGAAGCCGAGGAACGCGGTGTCGGGCGGCCCGCCAAAGGCGTCGGACACGGGCGGGCCGATCGCGACGGCGATCTCGGGCTTGTGGTTCGTGTCGGTGAACTGCGCCGGGTCACGTCTGTGCAGCTCTTCGCCGAGCTTCTTGTCCGGGTGGGCCTAACTCAGAACGACAGATTAGCATGTGAAGGTAGAGAGGGATGGGTGTGGCACGGCGCACTTGGAGGGGGAGAGCCTTGCCGGCGCTCAGGATCTTGAAGACGAAGGGGACCTGTTTGTCGCCCTTGAACCGCTCTAGCACCGTTTGGCCGAGGTAGTGCTCTGGCTCGGATTTGACCATGTCGCTAAGCTGGCGCGAGGGTGTGGTAAACGTAGACGCGGGTCCGTTCTCGTGCGTAGACATCCATAGCTACATAGACGCGCGATATCAGTCGACGAGCACAATGATCACAACGTAGCGCGTACCTCGGCGTACGGATGGTCCTTCTCGAGCTCAAATTCCGGGCCTACGCCCTCCTGCGCAAGATCGGCCGCAAGCGACGTCGAGCCCAGCTTACCCCACTCGTAGTCCTGCACCGTCCCGCGCAGGCGGAAGATCTTCTGGCCTTTGGGTTGCGTCGCGGATGCAATCGTGTTCTTGATCGTGTCCATAATCGTAATCGTGAGCAGAGAGTAAGAGGTAAAGTGGAAAAGGGAACCGGGTATGTATGTTGAAGGGATGGGCGCACGGATTTCGAGTGGCACTTATAGGGGCCATGACGCGGGTTCCCGCGTCGTATGATGCATTCGCTGATGCATATGAGCGCACGGTCGCGTTCGCGGCGAACGGTGGAGTGGCGTTCACCACATCCCGTACGCGTCGACCGCGGCCGAGCCCAGACACACCTGCAACAGGTAAACACCGCGCCCAAAATCAGACTGGCGCACGTCAAATGGACTCAGATATTGTGAGATTTGTACACGGGTTTGATTGCGTAAGATAGTACATGGAATTACAACGACTAGGGCACTGTTCGAGACGTTTCAGAACCGGTAGGTGGTACAGATTTACAGTCGAAGCGCACCGATTCCTCCCAAGAATCAAGAGAAGTCTAACGAGTCAGATCTACAGCCCGCCCCCGCCGAGTATGTACTCGATCGCGGAGTGCACGTTGCCGCCGGTGGCTAGTAACGCGCGGATATTCTGTTGCGCGTTCGTGAAGCCCATGTCTTGCAATTGCTAGGCGCGTATCGTCAGCAAACGAGCCAGAAATCGCACAGAAGACAAACACACCTGCAACTGGACCTGGAAACGCTCCTCTGGTGGCGGCAAGTTGGCCGCAGGCGCAGGCGGCGAACCAGCCGCACCAAGCCCGCCCAACCCCCCACCCAATCCACCCAACCCCCCAAACATAAACGGGTTAAACCCGCCAAACCCAGCACCCGCGCCAGCACCGTTCGCACCAGCAACCCCACCCGCGCCCTGCGATCCGCCTCCAAACCCACCTAACAGCTGGGCCAGCGCGTTCGGGTCCATACTAGGAAACCCGCCTGCGCCCGCACCAGGAGTGGTGCCGGTAGTGCCGGTTGTAGCGCTCGCGGCGCCGTCGGCTGCTGGTGCGCCTGAGTGGGCGCCGGGTGCGGGGAAGGACGATGCTGCTCCGCCGGCACCGCCGCCGAATAGGTTGCCGAGGCCGCCGGCGCCTGGCTGAGGGCCGCCGAGCCCGCCGCCGTTCATCATGGCGGACATCTGCATCATGTTGCGCATTGCTTCGGGGTTCGAGCTGTTCGATACGATCAGTTACTGCGTGGGAGAGAGGGGGAAGCGAGGACGAGGATGAGGGTGACGACGTACAGCATCTGGCGGAACCCTTCGCTCTGGAATATCTCGCGTACGCGGGGCCCCATGGCCTGGAGCTGCGGGTTGGACTGGATGATCTGGTCGATGATCTGTGGGTTTGAGAGGACGCTCGACATCTGTTGCATAAACTCGGGCGAGTTGAGCATGTTCGCCATCTGATCATTCGTCAGCACATTACACAAACACAGGAGAATGCGGGCGCACCATATTCGGGTCGTTCGGGTTCACGCCCATGTCCTGGAACGGGTTGAACCCGGACAGGTTCTGGCCGAACGCGAGGTGCGAGTTCAGTTGCGAGAGCGGGTCGTGCACGTTCTGCCCTGTCTGCATCTGCGGGAGCGGCTGGCTGGTCGTCGACGCGGCGGGTGTGCCCGATGCGCCGCCTGCGCGGGCGGCGCCCTTGACCATGTGGATGGTGTGGCCCGACTGGATCTTGTACGTGCTCAACGCGTCGTCATCCTACTCGAGAGTCAGCCTACGCCCTTCGCGCGCTCAGGACGAACGCGCCTTCAATACGCGACCTTCAGAGATGATCAGCCCGTGCGCCGTATATGATACGCGGCATTATGGCGCACCAGAGTAGATGAGCCGTTGCCTGTCGGCTTCGACGTCCGACTTGTCCGCGATAGCCTGCTTGAGCTCGCGCACGGTCTTGTCCGTCGAAATATCAATCTGGAGCTTCAGCTCGCTCGGCCCTGCATCATACACATATAAGCATGCATCTACTACGCAAGTCAGATCGGCTTACCCTTGACATTGATCTGGATACTGGAAGGGGCAGTTGTTGTTGAGTCTGTGTCGGCCATGGTAGTGGTGGTGGAAGCGAAGGGATATGTGTGCGCGTCCGGGGCGGTGACGACAGTTCGATAGCACCTTTGATCGGACGCGCGGCAGGGCGTTTGATGTCCAGATGCGGCAACTAGTCCGCCCACGTTCATTCTAGAATGCTCGGACACCTTCGAGTTCATTGTACCGACTAATAAGTACCTTTTGCGGTTGAGACGTAAACGAGCGGCACGCTCACAACGGGCGTCGTCGCTTCGGGTAGTTCATTGAACATGTAGATTGGGTTGTACTGTTATACATGTCAATGTGTCATGGCTACAGACGATGATGGTACAGTTATATGCATATCTCTAGTGTGTGTGTACCTCTACAACAACCTAGACGCGTCAATAGCAGCCAACGCATCATCAACAACAGCCAACGCATGATCCCTCTCATCCCTCAACCGATCCCTTTCCATCCGCGTCGCCATCAGCTCAGCCTTAATATCCGCAAGCAAATCCGACTCTCCGCCAACGATGTCAACAGACACGATCGGCGGAAGGGACTCGACGCGGGAGGATGTATGTGTGTATCGACGAGGGCTGGTGGAGGAGGGCGAGGGGCGGAGGGAGGTTGGACTGAGGCTGAGACTGTCCGAGCGCGAGAGTCGGCGGGCGTGCGCGGGGACGGGCTGGATTGTGGGTACTGAGGATGTGTAGGCGTCGTCGGCGTAGTTGGAGTTCAAGTCGGGTTTCTTGCCTTCGCGGACTGACTGGGCAAGGGTGACATCGCTAGCGCCAAAAGCCGAGGAGCGCTTGCGCGAGTCGTACGAGGAACGACGGCGGGAAGATGGAGAATTCATCGAATACGCAGAGTCGCGCTGTCTCGTGGGCGTCGTAGGCACTACGCAGTCCTGCGGCATGGTCTCGTCTGCGTACACGGATCGTGGTGTAGGCTCCGGTATCAAGAACGGGTCGACGGGCTCTGGCCCCAGATCCTCATTGAGCAGCCCATCCGAGATCTCCGTCCAGTAGCGCAGAAGCCACACGAGCATAGCGCGCGCATTGGGTATAGGCCCCCCAATAATCCTATCGGCGAACAGCGCTCCTATATCTTCCAGATCAAGCCCGTTGTCCGGACAGAGCGGCGTCTGGGAGAAGAACGCGCAGAGGTAATACAGCGCGCTCAGCCTCGACGTCGGCATCAGCCGCATCAAACACTGCGCCGTCGGCACCTGCTCCAGATCCAGCATCTTATTCTCCTCGTCCAGCACCCTCTTCCTTGCAGCCGTCTCGCGTATATACGCCGCACTCTGCCGTCGCTCAGAAAGCGCCGCGTCGCGCCGCGCGTCCTCCACCTCGTCCTGCTCCGCCGCCATCCGCAGGCGCTCGCGCTCGACGGTCGGCTGCACGCAGAAGTTCCAGAGCGCCTCGCGCAGGGGGTCGCACAGGATCGGCTGGCGGAGGTTGCGCAGGAACGTGGAGAGGACGGCGGCGATGACGGCGGTCGTTTCGCGCCGGAGGGAGACGCCGTGGCCGAAGGCGGGGGCGGTGTCGAAGATCTTGAAGAGGTCGGCGTGGCGCTGGAGGTGGGGGGTTTCGCGGAATAGGTTGGGTTGGTAGATTCCTATGGGTACCTCTGTGAGTGACTGCTAAGAGAGCGAGGGGATGGGGAGTACACACCAGTCCGGTAGAGCTCCTCGATGCAGGCGTACATGACTGTTGGAACGTCGTGACGAGCGCCGTTCATGACGACCGTAGTAGAAGCCCAGAACGCCGACTCGTAGATCGGTGCGTCAAAGGGAGCTGTTGCGCATGTAAGCAAGATATTAACCTATGTGGATGAGTGAGACGTACAGTTGCTCGACCACAACGGATTCCACTCCCCCTCCCTCATCGCCCTCTGCTCCTCAAAACTCTCCACGCTCCTCTCCCGCTCATCCGCACACTCCTCCGCGAGCTTCTCCACATCATCAAAGTCCAAATGCTGCTTCAAATGCCGGCCCTGATAATGCAGAATCGTATGCAGCCGCTGCAGCACCTCTCCGTGCGGCCACGTCGGCGCTAAAGGTAGCCGCTCGATGTTCGCCTGGAACACCGCGTCGACTTGCGCTGGGGAGCGCGGGCTGGGGCTTGGCATGTGTGGCGGGTGCCCGCACGCGCGCAGGAGCCGGTCGCGCTCCATGTCGATCTCGGGGACTGTGACGGGGAGCGAGGAGAAGCGGTCGCGGGCGCCATAGGGGTGCGTTGGGATGGAGGGGCGCTGGGAGTGGATGACGGGCGCGGAGTCGGCGCGAGGTTTCGTTAGGGGTGACGGATCCATGTCGAGTTTGGACTGGCGGAGGATGCTTCGCTTTGGGGTGGACGCCGATGCGGATGCGGATGTTGAGGAGGGGGGTATCGCCATGGGTGAGCTCAGCTCGTTAGAGGTGTATCAAGGTTTCGCGCTGAGCTTTAGAATAAGGCGATCGACTGTTTCGGGCGCCAAGAGTGACAGTTGGTCGTGTTCGTGGTTGTCTGCGGAAAGAAAACTGGGTGAGCAGGTCGAGTTGTGGCGGTTTAACTGCCTGGGTCTCACCCTCGCAGGCATCCGTCCGAACCCTAGGTCCCAGGCCAGACCCGAAACCTGAATCGAATCGGGATTCTGTCGTTGCCAGCCAAGTTGCTTCCGTGCCTCCGATACACGCGGATGAATGGGTGCGAGGGCGACGTCGTTCGCCGGCTACGGGCGTCATGAGTTTCAGGTTCGATGAGGAGTATGGGGCAGCTTACTTGTATTCCGATACAGTGATGTCAGTTCTATACTTCTTGCATAGGAGCGCTCGAGTCTGGCTGGGTAAGTTTGTCAGAAAGTACAGGGGCCAGGCCTACGGGGTCTCCGCAGTACTGCGGTTACCTTACCCTTGAGTGCCCTCGAATCGGGAGGTCGTCGGAGGCACATAGACGCTTTCAGCCCAGTATTCTTCAGAAGAACGTTCTCAATACTTTGACGAATGCCATCATTTCAAGGTACAGAGGCTGGTGGATGCTCGTGACCGAGGCTATTGCCGAAACTGCCCACTCGTAGCTCAAGGCTCTACTCTGCTAGATGATTGCGAGCAACTTGACAACGAAGTTCGTGAGGGGAAGAAAGCCATAAATTGCAGGGGTGCAACTGTTTACACCGGCTTGGTGGCTGCACGAGATATAGGACGAGGCAACAACGGAGAAGTGAACCGCGCAGAGGTGAAGTCGACGCATCGTCTAATCAGTTGCTCTGACAGCGATATTCCCTTGGCTCAAACTGGCAAGAAGCAGATACGAGCAACGATAAATCCGTGATGGTGTACGGTCGAGGGCTGCCTCGCCCCGTCATCGACGTGCCCCAACGCATGACCAACACGTCCAAGCGCCATCCATCTATAAAGCGGTGCTCGGTACACTGTCCAGCTACAGATGGCCTGATGATCGCGCCCGTCTTGGAGAAAGAGAGTGGGAAGTACAGCCCCGCGGGCAGATCGCAGTGTTCCATTGATGGCGGTCGGGGAGCAAGCAGTGTGGGCGCCTCTGCGCTCGCCGTCCTTTTCTTCCCTTGCCTTCAACTTCCACTTCGCCCACCGTCTCTTTCACTTTCACTTTCTGCTTCTTCTTCTGCCGCCTCGGGGCCCTTTGTGCTTAATCTTTTTCTAACACTCGCTCTTCTTTAACGACACGTCCAAATAATCGTCATGATCGCATCAACGTTCAAGCTGGTCTTGCTCGCCGCTACCTTCGTTTCGCCATTCGTGCTGGCCCAGAACGAGACCGAAGGCAATATCCCTGCATGCGTATCCACTTGCATAAGCAGCGCGGCTTCGATTGCCGGATGTAACCCGTGCGTGGTATCTGGAGTTGAGTCGAGTCCCCGCTGACCATCTATGTATTCAGGACGGACACGGAGTGCCTATGCTCGCAATCCCAGTTCGCCTACGCCGTAGGCAACTGCATCGGAGTCTCGTGCTCTGTCGCCAACATCAACACCGGGCGCACGGCTGTCTTGGACCTTTGCGGTCGTGAGTAATCGTTGCGAGCACATTGGGCGCTGCTGATCCGGTCTGTAGTCGAGGCCGATGAGCCCGCAGAAGGCGGCGAGGGAGAGGGATCAACGAACACGACTACCACTGCCCGGAACTCCACCTCGTCTGGTGTCAGCGGCTCGTCCAATTCCACGGCTTCTGGTGCAGTTGCCCTCCCCTCCGTCGTTCGGGCAACAGGAACTGGCGGCGTCTCGTGGAGGACACTCTTCCCCACGTCCACCTCAACCTCAACGTCGTCCACTTCCTCAAGCTCAGCTGTGTCCGCGAGTGGCGCCGTTGCCAACGTAGCGGCCCCTCCCAGCAGCTCCGCCACCAGCCCCGCCTCTTCGATCTCCGCTTCAGGCTCCGCCGCCAGCGCGACCTCGACCTCGGCTCAGTCCGGCGGTGCCAGCACCAATCTTCCCACCCGTTGGTTGATGGGCGGTGCTGGTCTTGCCGCCATCGTGCTTCTCGGCGCGTAATCCTAGATGGATGTTGATGGATCATGGACCTATATTTGGATGGATGTCTGCTTAGGATGAGCTTTTGAAATGCTAAATTATAATGAGACGACCTATGCCTTGCGCGGTTAGCCTGCAAGACGGTGATCTGGTAAACGTTCATCATACTTTTCACAAGCTATCGCTTCTCTGTGCATCATATTTGGTATCTGTCCCCGAGTGCGGCTGTAAAGGGGTTGGGCTTGCTTTAAAGCATCGCCCGGGTAGCGGACAGGCTTGGTTGTCCACCCTCACTGATGTCTACTCCCCGAAGCCCGTTTACTATACCGGAGGCATTAACCATCTCGTTCGATGCTGTTCAAGCTCCAACATTTGGCCGCGCAAGTATGTGTTGTGCTCGCTATCATCTCGACCTTACTAAATTTATCGTCCGTGTCACAGCGAAGAGCCTGACGGCGCTGAAAGCTGTTGGCGATGGGAGCTTCGGCTCTGTCTGGCTATGCGACTGGCACTCTGAGTTGTCGTTTCCTATTGAGCTAACAGCACCGTCGGCTGGGCCTGGCTCCCGTCCAGAGTACCAGGGAAAGCGTGTCGTGGCCGTGAAACGCATGAAGCGGCAGTGGAGGGGTGACGAGGGAGATTGGAGGACACTCCGTGAGATACAGGTGCGGTCGTGACTGACATACCCTGTTACAAATCATCGCTGAACAAGGTTCGTCAGGCGCTGCGCTCAATCCCAAGACACGCCAATATCGTGCCCTTGCTTGACGCCTTCGTTGACCCCGACGGGCACGAGCTGTATCTCGTCTTCGAGGCCCTAGAAGGTCATCTCCTCCAACTCATCAAAGCTCGTCGAGGTCGACCACTCGCAGATGGCCTGCTAGCATCTATATTCGTCCAGCTGACGCGAGGGATTGCGCACATACACGCGTCCGGGTACATGCATCGGGATCTCATCCCTGAGAACATCATGCTCACCACCTTCGGACTGCACGAATATCCGGGCTTCTACGACGCCGACGACGCAGAGGCGAGGGACGTTCTACTGGTGCTCAAGATCGCGGACTTCGGCCAAGTCCGGGGATCTAGGGGTGTGCAGACGTACACGGAATACGTTGGCGAACGCTGGTACCGTGCGCCCGAGGTCCTTCTCAAGAGTCGTCGATACACTACGGCAGTTGACATGTGGGCGCTCGGCTGTATCGTCGTGGAGCTACTCAATCTTCGCCCTCTTTTTCCTGGTAAATCGGAGTACGACATGATGGAGAAGCTCGTACACGCCCTCGGGGATCCTGCGACGGACTTCAGTGCGGATACAGAGCTTGCTGGGGGTGGCCAGTGGGCAGAGGGAGTTGAGCTAGGGTTGCAAGTCGGGTACATATTCCCACAGGTAATTGATGGTGTTGCTCTATTGAAGTAATCCCCCTCTCTGACAAACGCAAACACAGGGCTCACCACCACAGCCCATCCGCGATCTCGTCGGCCTGTCATACACTCGCGCGAGCCTAACTGATTGCATATCAGCTTTGCTCAGATGGGACCCTGGTGCACGACTGACGGGTGCGGAATGTCTGTTCCACCCGTATTTCATTCGGGCTTCGGCGTACGTGGACGCGTTGCCCAGCGCACCTGTCTGAGCTCACGCCGCATATGGCGGAGGATCGAGGGTCCGCGACGCAGTCGGGGTGGGTGTTTAGAGTGGCGTTGGGGTCGGCGCCGGTGACCTCGGTTGGAGGGGTCCGTCCATTCTGCGAGCTCTGGTACGACACTCAATGGGCCTCGGACAGGCTACGGAATGTCAACGCGCAGCCATCGATGTCTCCCCTTCGTCGGGCCTTCGATACTATTAGCATTCTATCTCACTCTTAAGACAGTACCATTTACTGTGCATCTGTGGTTCTCTACTACAAGTTAGAGCCTGTAGCTGGGACGTTCAAACTTCTGGGCTGACGTTACTCCTGATACAGGGTTTCACACCCATGATATGAGATCCCTATGCTTGAATGTTGATAGACATACGACCATACAGGCGGCTCATATGCCGGACCTGATTTCGCCGCATGCCTGAATAGCAAACGCGGATCGTATCCAGCGCCTATATCGGGCACGTCCGTGAGAGTGTGCGAGCCACGTTCTGATTGTATCCGGTCCGAAGCTACGTATCGGCACAACGGCAACTTGTCCTTCGACTGCATTTCCCACTCAACCCATTGCTCGTTGGAGTGCATCGCCGACACGGAAGACTGGACCAGCGTACTGCGCTGTACGCGTCTTTCATATACTGCGCTCCATACCCTCTTAAAGGCCGAAACGGCGGTGTGCGAATGTCCAGGCCGACACGTCAACGTTGGAACGTCCCAGGCTGGCCGATACACGATGCTCACGCTCGCGGAGATTGGACTCCAGCGGCCGTAGAGATGTGTCTTTCGTCGTAGAAGGCAGGCACATGTCCCGGCGGTAGCTCCAAAGGACTCTTTGTGCGAGCTCCGAGTGATAGCACGAGGCTCTCACGGCACAGCAGTGCACAGGGATAGCCGGCTTTGGCTCTCGGAGCTCGCTGTCCATTGTTGCGGATTGGCTGCAGCCGGATGTGTGTTCTCGGCCTCCAGGGGGAGAGTGGGATGTACGGCGCCTATAGCTCGATCTTCGCGATGAGCTTGTTTTGAAAATATGCCGAGACGTCCGGGGAATCCGCGTGAAGCGCACAAGTTTGGGCAATTCACAACACCGGTGAAGACAGATCCGGGCGTCTTGATCCTCGAGACCTTCTGGAGAGTCTGTTGGCGCCTAACGGTCGTCGCTGGGGCAGATCCTGTCGAAGCTGTTCTGGCTTGCCAATAAGTAGCCCTTGTGTCTGTGATGAGCGACATCCCACCCCGCTATCCTCCCCATGCTTCCAACGTTGGGCCTTACGCTCTCCGCACTCGCGGTGGTTGATGGCGTTGCCGCTCGCTGTCGTTCACAGCCCGGCCAACCAAACTTCCCTTCCACTGAAGACTGGGCAGCACTGAACGAAACTGTGGACGGTCGATTAGTGACCGTCGTACCCTCCGCAAAAGCCTGCGCAGACATGGGATGCACAGCAGAACAGTGGTCAAGTGCCTTGTTCCGGAATACCCTGCCGGGGCAGATGAACGCAGTCAGTGGCGCTTCCTCATTCCCATTTATGACTCTCATACTGATATTGGCACATTCAGTACAACTGGGAACAGGTACACAACCGTCAATATCAGTCCATGCCAAGCCATACTCATACCGCCGAAGAATTATACGTCTAACCCAGCCGAACTCTGTCTCTATAACGACACGAGTGCATGTTCTCAAGGAGATGTACCAATATACGCCATCAACGCCACAAGTCCGCAGCATCTACAGGTACGCTCACATTTTTCTTCGTCAATCTCGCGCTCTAACTCAACTTGCAAACGCTCTCAGGCGGGCGTTTCGTTTGCGTCACAGCATGACCTGCGCGTATCCGTCAAGTCTTCGGGGCACGATTACCTCGGCCGATCGACGGCTCCCAACTCTCTCCTCCTGTGGACGCAATATTTCCAAGATATCGAGTTCACTGATTCGTTCGCCGTCGGAGGCCAAGACAGGGGCAGTGCTGTAACTGTTGGGAGTGGTGTGGGACTGCGAGCCCTATACGTTGCTGCGAAAGCTGTCGACAAGATGGTCGTGGGTGGCACAGCCGCCACGGTGAGCGCCGGAGGAGGCTATACGCAGGGCGCAGGGCACTCTGGATTCGGCCCCACCTTCGGTCTTGCCGCAGACAACGTCCTTCGTGAGTTTGAACGATTCCTTCATCAGACATATCCTGACAGCCCTTGCAGAATACGATATTGTGCTTGCAAATGGGTCTTTCGTCAACGCAAACGACGCCTCAAATCCGGATTGTGAGATCTCTTTCGGATGATACCGCACATCATCTCCTGACAGGCTCTCCTATAGTGTTCTGGGCTCTCCGTGGTGGTGGGGCTGGAAGCTGGGGCGTCATCACCTCGATAACGATGCAGACGTATCCCATCTTCTCAGCAACCCTTCACGTGGCGAATATCCTCTTCAACAGTTCAAGCCAAGCCGCCGCAGCGATGACCGTTCACGCCAAACATATCTTCGACTACGATACCCTGCGTGGCGCTCAGTACTTCTATCTGTACAACATCGGCGGCGGTCAGAGTTACCTCTCCATGAGCACGCTCATCGCCAATATCTCTGCGGACGCTGCGCAAGCGGCTGTCACACCCTTCATCACGGACATACAGGCAATTGGCGCGACTGTGATCAACCAGACGGCGACGACCGCCATAGCCAACGACATCGTTGGATTCGCGGACGACAAGGCGGGCTACAACACTCTGCTCGGCTCGCGTCTCGTCCCGGCTACTCAGTACGAACGCAATCCCGATGCGATTGGCGCTGCATACAAGACATTGCTGGATCAAGGAGTTGGCTCGTAAGCTCTTAACGTCGTGTTGCTCCTGATACCCACCAACGCTAACCTCAATAGCATCCTTGGACATCTTGTCGCCGGTGGTGAGTGACGATTATGCATCTACTATGGAGCACGACTGACAGTTCAATAGGCAAAGTCGCAGAAAACGTCAACATCAGCTCGGCGATCCTCCCCAAATGGCGGACGGCTAAGACCCACGTATGCCGGTCCACGTTCACCCCTTCGTTCAGTTTCTGATCGTGTCATCCAGGTCATTGCAACAACGACATGGAACGACACCACAACGCCAGGTGATGTCGTAGCGATACAGCAAAACTTCATTTCCCAGATGGTCCCCGTTCTTGCCGCAGCTACTGGAGAGCACGATAGCGGTTCGTATTCGAATGAGGCTAACGTCTTGGAGCCTAACTTCCAGACGACCTTCTTCGGACCGAACTACGCACGGTTGCTGTCTATCAAGAAGCGATACGATCCTCAAGATCTCTTTATCGTGCGTGCTGGTGTCGGCAGCGAACGTTGGGACAGCGCGGGTTTGTGTAGGTTATAGATTGCCCTCTAGATTCAGTGCCATCACGGACATATTGCTTTCTGTTGTACATATATACCCTCATCATCAGGCATGCTCGTCAAGAACATTCAACATGTTTTCATCGATACAACACGTGGACGTCCTATATCGGAGCCGAGTAGGCGCACAGATGGTCGCACGTCACAAAGTATGGCGTGGAGACGTCCCTTTGAGGTACTTGCGTAGATCCTGCGTGACCACTTAGGCTTAACTTTTGAACTCCTTACTGCTTCCATTCACGCTGCAAACAGTATCCATGCGGTGTCTCGAGAAGCTGCGTCTAGGAAGGCCCGTCTTTTTAAGGCGCGCCGTCTTGGATGGGGGCTGAGCATCGAGCTTTCTGCCCCGGCTTGCAACTCTGCGTGTCTCAACATCAACGAGCGGATCATGGCGTTACCACCACCCAACATCGAGTGTCCAGGATGGCGTGGCTACAGCTCATTCGTACGGAAAGTATTTTGCGTTCGCGAGAACCGTTTTGATCAGCGGACCAAGGAGGAAGCAAGGCTTCTCATGCTCGAGAACATATTCCTCACAAATGAACGCCTTGATGGCCGCACCACGCAAGACTTGCAGAGCGCGACGGCAGCTGGAGACCAAGCAGCGGTCGTCGAGATGGCTCTTCGGCGAGTATCCGATGACTCATCCAGGACGCATTCGGCTCATAGAAGCATCGTAGTATCTATACAGGTACCCGTGGACCCGCCAAGGACGTCAGTCGCGCTCTCGATCTCTGGCAAGGAGTTACCCGACTCCATGTCACGCCCAGCGCGCCGACTTTTGCGGCTGTACGAGATGCGCAAGCCGACGCGTATCTGCTTTTGTGTACGCACTACTTGCGTCTCCACGAACTCGATCCATCAATCACCCACATCGCTTCGGCCGTCGAAGCCGCCGCTAGGGCTGCCACGCTCGGGAAGTACAAGTGGTGCTCGTGGAGGACCGCAATGGACTATCGGGGATTTGCGCGTGCTCTGGATGCCAGACAGAAGGCGAAGAAGAAGGCTAGGCGGGGTGAACACATCACAATCGATATTGAGATCAGGACAGCGGAGGAAGAAGTCGCTTGGGCGAAGATAGGATCAGTCTTGTCCGATGAGAATAACGCACTCGACCGCATCACGCAAGAGCACATTGAGGGCCACAATAAGCGCGCTGCAGAGAGAAAGCGCTCACGTCTAGGCGCTCATCACTGTTCACGCCCTGGATGTGCCGCCACTACGGCTGCTATCAACGGCTTTCAACGTTGTGCAGGGCGCTGCGTGGGGGAGAATCAGGCGTACTATTGCACGAAGGAGTGTCAGAAACAGGTACGCAATCGAGTCTCCCTTCTACCTCTCTTGCATGAGCCTGAGTTTCGGAAGGACTGGAAGAGACACAAGGACGTCTGCCCAAGGGCGAATGAGAAGGTCGTGACTATTCGAAGCCGTGGCGGCGAGACCGTCGACGTCGATACGACCAACCTAAAGCCTAACCAAGCAGAGATGCTCCGTCAGTGGTCGGAGGGTGAGATGGGCGATCTGGTGTCCGATCTGATGTCCGGACCGATGCCAGAATATTTCCAGAAGATGATTGCTGAGAGAGGAGTCCCCTACAGCCGAGAGCAGATTCTGCGATGTGTTACGGACTGGTTCTGAACGCTCCTAGTAATGTGTGCCATGTACTGTAGACCGGTCTCTTGTCGTAATCAGTAGAAGTCACTCCATCTCTGTAAGGTGCCACCATATGCGCACGACTGCCAGTCTGATATGAGATCGCGTGCAAGCCAGTATGGCAGGAGGAAAACAACGCGAAAGAGGTGAAAGGACGATAAACGAAGTGTGACTGACGCGTGACCATACGCGGCGCTTCGACGCGCAACACGCGGTTCGTCTTCCAACATCGCCTCGACTCGCCCTTTTCGTCCGCCACCACCACCAACCCTACCTTCTTCCTTCCTTTACTTCGATTTTACGATGCTTGAAGCTAAGCTTAACGAGGCGGTGATGCTCAAGCGCTTGCTTGACTGTAAGAATATATGATCTTCTGCCCGCTCAGCGCCTCGCTGACACGCTGCTGCACAGCCATCAAAGAACTTGTCCAGGATGCCGAGTTCAAGTGTGACGAGGGCGGTATTGTACGTATCACTCTGAAATTACAGAATGTCCAGTGTCTGACCATTTTTATTTCCAGGAATTACAAGCGATGGACAACTCTCACGTTGCGCTGGTCGCGGTCAAGATGGACGCATCTGGCTTCCGGCGCTACCGCTGCGACAGGCCAATCCCGCTCGGCGTCAACCTGGGCTCTCTCACGAAGGTGCTCAAGTGCGCCAAGGACGACGATATCTGCACTCTCAAGGCCACCGATGACAGCGACGTGCTTAGCCTCACCTACGAGGCACGCAGTAAGTCCTTTTATTTCGTTTTTCGAAATCTGCTCTGACCCGCACCTTTACAGATGCTGACCGAATTGCCGAATATGATATGAAGCTCATGGATATCGACGCCGACACGCTCGGCATCCCAGACACCGACTACGAGGCCCGCGTGACGATGCCTTCTGCAGAGTTCTCACGGATCGTCAAGGATCTTTCCAACCTCGGCGAGTCGGTACGCATCGAAGTTTCCAAAGAGGGTGTACGCTTCGCCGCCGACGGCGAGTCGGCGAACGGCTCTATCCTGCTCAAGCAAACTGAGGCAGCGCGCAAGCGGTATGAAAACTACAATGCCGATGACGAAGACGAGGTGAAGGAGGAGGATGAGGATGAGGGCTCGGAGAAGAAGAAGAAGCGCAAGGTCAAGAAGGACCCCGACGCGGAGGAGGATGAAGATGAGAAAAAAAAGGACGACGACGAGCCGATGGATGAGGACGATGCGGACTTCAAGGCCAAGGAGGAGGATGGTGAGGATGAAGACGAGGAGGACGAGGGCAATAAGAAGAAGCGCAAGAAGGCGCCGGCAGCGGTACGTCTTCTCGCCACTTTACCATGTCATATGTAGCTCACATGATCGTCGCTTTTAGAACGGCAAGCCCAAGAAGCGTGTCAAGAAGGACACTGACGATGAGGGCGCATCTGGCGGCGGTGTCAGCATCGACCTCACCGCACACGTTGCGCTCACTTTCTCGCTTAAGTACCTCGTCAACTTCTCCAAGAGCGCTACCCTCTCGGACACCGTTCAGCTCATGATGCGGAATGACGTCCCGCTTCTCGTACGTGTATCACCCTGCCAACTTCTCCACTCGTCTAACGCCAGCTGCCATAGGTCTCCTACATGTTCGGCCAAGGCCACATACATTACTACCTCGCCCCCAAGATCGGCGACGACTAGTCTCTTTGGTCACGAAGGTTTCCCGCGATCTAATGGTTCTTGATGTTTTCGTACGACTCAACGCTATCTCTACGTATATCTGACCCTTTGAATGTCACTGGTTTTTGAATGTTGCATCCGCGCTGTAGCGCACGCCCGTCATCAGCGTTTGAAGCTGACTCTTGTCATTGGATCATCATGGACGTGCGTGTATGAGAGAGCAAGGGGTTAGTAGTACAGGTAATGTCATCTTCGTAAGTATGCTACATGGTGAGTCCTGGCCCTAGTGCAGTACGCGTGTATGTTGATTCTCATGCATTGGGTGATTGACACTACTTAAACTCAGGAGCCGAGCTTCAGCCATTTGTCGAGACCAAGACCCTTGTAGATCTTGTCAAGGCCCGTGGCGCCGATGATACCTTTGAGGAGGCCGTCAAGACCAAGCCCGGAGAGCTACATGTATGTCAGCTACAGCGATAAACCGAGGGACGATGATAAGACTGACAATGTTTCCGAGCAGATTGAGCACGCCTGCGACCAGCATTCCGACACCGCCCACGATCTGCGTCAACGGCTGGCCAAGCGCATCGAGCAGCGGCCCGAGGTCCTTCTTCGCCTTGGGAAGACTGTTGATCTCGTTTTTCGCCCACTCGATCGTACCTCCGACATCCTTGACCAGCTACGGAATGCATCAGCGCTGGCGCCGGAGACGGTTTCGAGGTTCACGACGTACAGTGCCGAGCGCATCCGCAAGCCGCTGCTCCTCTTGCGTGGCGTCGTGCGCTTCATAATTACGCGTGGCCTGATTGCTCAGGCGATTGTCCGGGTCCGCGCCTTTGATCGCGCCGTTGGCCTCGTTCAGCTCCTTCTCCGCCTGCTGAATGAGAGGCTTAGTGCTGTCGATGAGCTTCTGCTCGTCGCGGTCGTCCTCCTTCTTCGCCTTAAACTGCTCGATGTTCTACAGAACGCGAGAGATCAGTCGGGAATGACCAGTCGTGGATAGTGGAGAACGCACCGAGCGGATGTTCTTGATGATGGGACCGACGCGTTGGTTGGCGTTCTCGATGATGCCGGCGAGGCGGTTAGCGAGCTCGCGCTCCTCTTGCGATTGATTGTCGGGCTGAGACATGATGTTATCGAAGTGTGTTTGGGGTTGTGGTAGTTCGTAACAGTAAGTGCAGCTTCGTCCGCCTACCTCGCCGTGTTCTTATAAGTCTGTAACAAATACGAGTTTGGTGATGTCATACCCTCGTATGGGCTCAGCAGACATCAGCCACTCGCTCCCTCTGGGAGCACATGCTATGTGTTCGGGTGATGGGTGCCACCAGGCTACGGAGATGGTCCGAAACATACGAATGCATGTTATCAGAGCGTTGTCAGACGACAGACGACTGGAGCTGCGCTGTATGGTCCGACGGCTTGTTGGAGAGTTCGCCAGTTTCACCTGCCGCCGGCCATCAAGCACCTTATCCAACTGAGATTTTGTCCACTCATGTGGCAAGAAATATCTGACACACGCAGCTGGTTCCGGCTGCTGCAACCCCAGCGAAGCATACCGTGTTGCCGAGCTAGGCGTTGACGTGGCCGCCGTCAAGCGAGAAACCCACGTGAGCGTGTATCTCGCCTCCTCATCCTGTGCGCTTATTCAGGCAACTCACTCCCTAACGCCATCGACAGACATACACGAAGTTACATCGCTGAGTGCTGCCCATCCGGCATGCCGTCCCACACATTGAACTCTGCCTTTCACCGTCAGGCGCCCCGATGGTGCGTGCTGTGCTTGCGATAATGCTTAGCGGCACATGTGGGTATCTTCGCGGCTATGTCGCACTTCGATTCTACGTAGTACAGTAAGCGTGCGTGTACGCGTATAATGCAAGAACCATCATCTAGAGGAAACCATTCAACCACTTGTTGCCGGCAACAACTTTGAAAACCTTATCGAGCCCTATGGAACCGATAATTTCCTTTAATGCCCCGTCGAGTTCGATTCCGAACAGCTGTAAACTTCCGGTCAAAGTTTGGATACGATGGCGGCATCAGCACTGACTATTCTACCAAGAACTTGGTTGAGCACGCCTCCCACGAAGAGGCCTACTCTGCCCACGATCTGTGTCAGAGGCTGCCATCCGAGGGCGTCACCTAGAGGGCCAAGGTCCTGATTTGCTGTTGGTATATATAGACGGTAGGGAGACGGAGAGGGCAGACACGGGCGTATGTATATTAGGGTTAGGGTTAGCGAGGCAACGCCGCGTCGCCGCTCCGGGGCCCGCGCCACACGCGAGCGCACCTCGTCCAGAATCATCATCATCACCGCCCAGCGCGGCTGCTTCCGTGTCGTTCTCCCGACTCAGGGCCGTGCTCCATGTCCACAGAAGAAACTAGCGCTTATGAGTCGTGTTAGAGCCACTTTAAAGAACGCAAAGACCTTGGGGGTTGCTCGTAGTGCGATTGTGGCCAGGTTGAGCGCGCCGGGGTGACGCCGCGCCGCGCCGCGCCGATTCGAACGGCGACAGCAGTTGTCCTACCACCACCACCACCTCCGCCTTCGGCTCACCACCTCTCTGTGCCGACGAAGACATGGAGAATGCTTTAAGGTAGTGTTTCACATGCAGTTATTGGACGTGAGCGCTCATTGAACGATTGCAGCGAACATATACAGGACTCGTGGATGAGCTTCCTATACTCCCAGATCGACAATCGTCTGGTTCGAGACGTTCCAAACTCTTCGCTCGACATTTCAGACAAGCGAATGATCTTAAGCAAGCATCTAGCTTCCGTACGTACTGCCGAGAACCTACTATGTCAACACTTGAACTTCCTGCTCCCTGTGTATCGCCTCCCTGACGAGATTCTGGCTCACATCATGAAATACGCCTGTTCGGAGGACGCCTCCCTCCCTTACCTTCCCACAAGGCTTATGAGTGTCTCGCGCAGATGGTGCGCGGTTGTGCGCTCTTTTGCCGAAATCTGGGCGTATCCACCGATACCTGACTCCCAAGCATGCATCGAGGCTGCACTCTCCCGGGATAGATCGGTACCTCTTCATCTGAGGTGGCATATTTCGGACCCTTCAATGTCACGCTCATTGGAAGACAATGCTTTCGACTTGTACACGCCGACATGCGGCAGCATCACTCTGTCTGCCACCTCGGCCAACCTGCAGGCCATTCTATTCTCTCTAGGAAGCGTCGAAGCTCCCGTCTTGGAGTATGTGTCCGTCGAAGTTGATCTTGATGATAGAGAAGACCCGAACAATCTACGATGGCCTCCAAACTTATTTCAGGGGGCAACGCCTCGCCTTCGCGATCTAAACATCTATGACTTCGCTTGCGTCAACTGGTCCGACGCCCTGTTTTCTTCAACATTGAGGAAGTTGGACGTTAGGCTTTTAGGAAGCGATCATATACACGCTGATGATCTCACTGATGATGCTGGGTTGTCGTTCCAAGGCTTAATCGACGCTCTGGATCGCCTGCCGTGGTTGGAGGAGCTCGTCTTGAGTCGTTGCGTTTCGACATCTTTACTATATGGGCCTCGAACAAGCGAACGAACGGCGGATCTTCAACACTTGGATCTTCTGGCTATCATGGACGACCCTGAATCCTGTTCGCTTCTCGTCGAGGCTCTTGTGATCGGGACCCATACGTTGGTCGCATACACCATTTTTGACGCCAATGAGCACCTTATGGGAGGAAAGCTCGGACCGTTCTTGCGCTCACGAGTTACCGAGTGTTTTCATAACTTGGATATCTTCGTCAGTCATGAAGATGAGGACGATGACTCGAGACGCATTGATTTCTTCTTCCACAATGGGGAGCTTACTGTTGCTCATATGATCGTGGGAGCCGTCGTTAATATTGAGCCTGGCCTAACGCCGGACTGGTATCGCGACCTGTGGACCACTATGTCCGCGTCTCTCGATATGCGACACGTCTGGAGTATCCGCATCAGCTTAGATTCAGACGCTGCCATGATAACCAAGCCGATGTGGCTCAAGGCCTTTGCCCACGCCAGCCAAGTCGTACGGGTAATATGCGTGGAGTCCCGGCAAGTGCCGTCGTTGTCGCATGCTCTCTGCCATCATCAAAAGTCGTCCGAACGTAAAGTTTTGGAGCAATTATTCCCACGTCTTGCGGCTGTATGCACCTTCGGAACAATGCCGCGAGATGTTTTCCTACTGAAGCGTGCGCTCAATATCCGCCGGAGCGTTCCTGGCGGCAGAGCCCTCGGATATTTCTTGATAGATTGTGAACCTGCACTACGCAGGATCACGCAGGCGCGTGCGCAGATCGTGTGCGTATATCCTGACGGCAAGCGGGTTCCATGGTTCGCTCCCCCTCGTGCAAAGGTCAGCACGTCAATCAACCATCGTCGTTGACATCTCTCGCTAATAGGTATTCACTCAGCGAACTACTATCCCTGGGCAAAGGTTCGAGGGGTTCGATGTTCGTAGAGCTGTAAAGGCTATGCGCTCCAAACAGTGAGCACTGATCAATATTCATTCATATTGCACGGAAAGTCGCTGACGTTGTTCTTGAATACTAGGCGTGCAAAGAAACTAGGAAAACCTCCTAGGTTGTCTGCTACGGAGCATAGATCAACATTAGAAGCTGAGTATGAGATCGACTTTGATAGCGTCTTTCAATGATGTAGCTGTACTTCTTGACCGTGTGAATCGTATTGAATGAAGGGCCGAGACTCGTTAGAACATGGGTGCTTAGCATGGGTTTCTCCTCCTTGGGGGCGCCGACCTCGACCGGACAGTGTCATCATAGAGCGCCTCGTATCACGAACGGTAGTAGGTGCACGCCCAAGACCAACAAAAGAAGGGACTGTTCCAAGTCGAGCCTCCTTACCCCAACTTCGGAGTTCGAGCGGGTACGTCATCTCTCGCTCGCAGCAACCATAAATGCAGCGAAACGAGCGATAGTATGTGCTCAACTTCACCCCACGTTCGCGTAATGAGCGAGTCTGTGCCCTTTGTATCGACACCCACACATCCTCCCGCCCAAGGCTCACTTATGCATTGGGCGCAATCGCGGCTCAACTCGATCTATGATGAAGCTGCCGAGGTAGACGCCCGGAAGGTCGGAGGAAGCACAGCGGATGTGTCCGACGCATTCGACTATGCCTTTGCTAAGGGCGCGCACATCATGCTCAACATGAGGCCCTCGAACGTGGATCGACTGCGAGCGCGGATGCGGAAGCAGCGGGGAGACGCGACTAGGATGGTGCAGGAGTGGTATGGATCACTTGAGGTCGTTGATGAGGGCTGCGCGGAAGAGCGACCAGTACGTGTTGAGTCTGTTAGGCAATGCGTTCGAGGGACCCATGTAAGGAGCAGACGGGGCTGTTCACTGGTTTTCGGCACGTAACGCGTGTGTACGAAGAGAGGGAAGGGTATACGCCCGTCGTACATCAGCTCTGGTCCACGGTACAGATCAGGTAGGCTCCTTGTCGTATCTGGCGCCTTGCAGAGTAGATGACACAAAGCGCAGGGTGGCCGAGAACCCAAGTGAGCGCCACCAGGGCGTGAGCCGCAAAGAGGACTCGCGGAGGATTGTCGAGTTCTGGGAAACGGAAATTGACACGCAAGAAATGGCGGAGCGGTCGGGTATGGGAATGAAGGACGCGGAGGGCCAAAAGAACACTTGAGCTATACGCATAGGTCTACGCTTCCGGTTGTGATAGACACGCGGCACCTATGTAGATGGATATACGTCGTGATGGTTGTGTCCAAGAGCGCGGCCGATAACGCCGGAGAAGAACCGATTCGGCTGAACGGTCCGAGTTCACCGATGCCGAGTCGCGTTGCGCCGCTGGACGCAACTCTTCCTCATACCAAGATGTGAGGTTGACGCTCGACCCTTCGTAGCCTATCCACTCTCCTGAGAGCCCTAGCTTCATGACGCAGATCCTCAGCCGTCTTTGAATGGTGTAGACATTGGGCTACTTGCAACGCAAGATGGGCATCTCAACATCAATCGCGATGCGGCGCGCCCATAGCCGCTGCCAACATGTTTCAGCTACTTTGCCAGCTGTTGCGCGTCGTGCAAATGGGATGGTCAGCTTGCGCCGTCTTTAGGATCATCAATCAAGTGCGCGATTCCAGGTCTTGACGAGTTTGGTCGTTGACTATCTCAAATAGGCCCGCAGAACGTCAACTTCAGCCATGAGTCTCTTGGATCCAACTATGCTCATATTCTGAGCTATCCGGTCTTCTCATTACGCCACTCCAGCTTCAATGCAGCCCATTGCTAGCTATACTGGCTATATGCTATTTATACGGGTGTAGGATCCCGTTCAAACACGTCACAGCCCCATTCATGCTTGCTATCTTCTGGCTGAGTTCAGTAGGTGATGCGAACAAGTATCGTGCCGTTTCTATGCTTTCCATTGTCAAGTTTAGGATGGCATCGCGACAAGACACGGTTAGGCGTGTAGAGTTGGATTCACCGTCCTCAGACATAAGAGACCATCTCGATGCTTGCAATAGGACCATCGGTCGCTCTCTCTCAGCTCGAAGATGGCGGCATACGACCCGACCTACCCTCTGTTACCAACTGCGAAGTTCATATCCGCATCGATGCTACTCCTTGTACTGTTATCTAGCTTCACACGACAGGCCTGGAACTTGGGTGTCGCGTTTCTGTGCTTCTGGCTTTTCATCGAGTCTTTGATGGATGGCGCGAATCTCATTATCTGGTCTGACAATGCCGATGTCAAGCACTATGTGTATTGCGACATAGGTGAAGATACAACCTCTTTTCGTTCAATAGCACATGCTTACCGTGCGCGTCACTAGTCTCTCATGTGCAAGTGATAACCTACGTCGTCAAGCCCATGTCAACGCTGATCATCACGCGGCGGCTCTACTTGATTGCCAAACTTCAATCAGTGTACCTACCCAGTCGAGCGGCGGTGCGTCATACCTGCTTTTTTTCATCATCCTCGATTCATAATGATCCAACGCTTCGAGACAGAAGCGACGAGATCTAGCCATAGAGTGGACTCTTGGTCTTATCATTCCTCTCCTCGTCGCTGGGCCCATCTGTGAGTCATATGCATTGGGACAACATTGGGATACCTGGACACAGACTGAGTGTCGCTGCTTCCACAGACTATGTACACCAGGGCTTTCGCTTCAGGGTGGATGGCGGATTTGGTTGCGCAAACGCCCCGCAAACGTCCGCATTGGAGCTCTTGACGCTTGAGTCGTGGGTTATACTACCGCCCCTCATTTCGATCACCTTCTACTTTCGTGAGTCAATCTCCCATCTCTCAATTTTCTCTTTCTGAGAGGCTTGATATCTATTAGCAAAGGTGGCATGGGTGTTCTATCGTCAGCGGAGGGACATCCACGACTACCTAAACACCAACAACTCAGTCTCGCGCGGGAACTACTTCCGCGTCCTCGCCCTCGCAGGCTTCGACCTCATCCTCACTCTACCCATCGGCATCGTGACCATCGTCCTAAGGGTGATCGGGATCGAAGTTCAGACGACCTTGCCCTTCTACTGGGGTTGGTCCTTCCTGCATCAAAACTGGGAACCACCGAGTTATCCATATCCGACTCTTCGAGCAAACGGGACGGCATCCTTGGCGCAATACTACTTCGCTTATTGGACATCGCCCTTGCTCGCATTTGCGATATTCGGCCTCTTTGGTCTGAATGAAGAAGCGCGGGCATCCTACTGGCGCATATGCTGCATCATTGGGCGCAAGCTTGGCTGGAAGCCGACTCCTTCCGCGGATCGGGATGGACGCACAATACCGGATGAGATCGAGTTCAGCGTGCGGCCACAGGCTGACTTGTCTAGTATCGACGGAGAGCGAGGGTGGGTCAAAGAGTGTTTTTCACGTCGTGCGCGTTGGGCTGAATCGGCTTTTGCAGATCGTGCCCTCCCGGTCTCATCGACGCCGACGTCCTTGCGGAAGGACTCGACGTCAAGAACATGCAGAACGAGTCAGCTGAAGACACGTACGGGCTCCCTAAGGACTATGAGGGAAACTTCTCAGCCAGCGAACGGTGCGTATCGGTCCTGCAATTCTCCAGCCTAGCGTGATCTTGACTATCGGTCAGGTCAAACGACGAAGACTCGAAGTCATCATCATCGCCAAGTGCGAAGATGGACAGCGAGTCCCCCGCATAGAGAGCCACGCTCGTCTCATGGTGGCACTTTAGGATCGGTACGCAGTGGATGGTGGCAGAAGCGCGAGTAAGGAAGCCAGCGGTCGTTAGTGCATAGAGGCCCTCTCGTCACGAAGCAAGAAGTGTTACTGTTGTGGAGATGTAATGCGTCGTATAGAGTAGTAGAAGCGTCGAGGTAGCACCATTTGTTCAGATAAAGCCTGTGCGCCGTGCGCTTCGATAGGTGGTGGCGGTTGCAATCAAACGCGAGGGTCGCGTTCCGCGAGTGGCGCGCGTTGTGCAAGTCTTCCTCGCACGACCATGTCGACGGTTCTAGACTTCCTTTCCAGGCAGTGCGTTCTGGTGCGGATAGAGAGCTACTCCGATAAGCACACGGATATGCCATGAAGTACGCCTTCCGTGCGTAGTAGTGTCTGCTCTATCACCTATATTGACTTCTTATAGGCATATAGGCACTTTGGCCGATGGCCCCAAGTGCATATACCGAGTGTCACGCCCGATCTAGAACCGCTGGGACTCGAAGCTCGCACCTACATGTCCATCACAGTCCCTCACACCTTCCATCTCGACTTCTGGATTACCGTGCGGTCCGGACGAGGAGCATCTGACGTCGGCATCCGATAACGCTCCCAGCCGCGAGACGGGAGCGGTCTCCCGTATATCCAGAAGTTCACTTCGGTCCTCCACTGGCACAGCACAATCGTCCATCATGTCCTCCTCCGACTTTGTCACCAAAGCCCGCTCTCAATTCCCCTCTCTCTCCTCAGGCTACATCTTCGCCGACAACGCCGGCGGCTCCCAATGCCTCAAATCCGTCGTAGACCGCATCTCGGATTACCTGCTCAACACGAACGTGCAACTCGGCGCGGACTACTCTGTATCGGTGGAGAGCACCAAACGCGTTGCGCAGGGCAGCGCGACGGCCGCGACGCTGTTTAATGCGACTAGTCCAAGCGAGATCGCGCTTGGGAGTAGCTCGACGATGTTGGCGGAGAACTTGGCGAGGGCGCTGGAGAAGGATGTTTTGGATGGGGAGGAGATCATTGTTACTGGTGAACATGAGGGTACGTCTGATGCGCATTCTGCTGTAGCTCTGTACATGTCTCATGACTTTGCGTAGCCAATGCTGGCCCGTGGAAGAAGCTCGCAGCGCGCAAAGGCATCACGCTCAAGATCTGGCAACCGCGCCTCACCAATCCGAACAACCCCTACTCCGTGGCCCTCGACGTCCTCGATCTGCTCCCCCTGCTCACCTCCAAGACGCGCCTAGTAGCGTTCACAGCAACGTCCAACCTCCTCGGCACAATCGTGCCCGTCAAAGCCGTCATCAAAGCTGCGAGGGCCAAAGCTGCTGAGCTGGGCGTGAGGAAGATCGAGTTCTGTGTGGACTGCGTTGCGTATGCGCCGCATCGGAGGATCGACGTGCAGGACTGGGACGTTGATTACTGTTTCTTCTCGTTCTACAAGGTGCGTGCGCGCATCTATAAACATTGTACACATGATGCTAACTGTCTGTGTCTAGGTGTATGGTCCCCACATATCCGCCCTTTATGCCCGCGCATCGTCTCTGAAGACCTCTGTCTCCGCCCTCACGCACCACTTCCTCCAAGTCGACGACGTATCATACAAGCTCATGCCCGGCGGGCCCGGCTACGAGCTCGCATACAGCGTTACTGCGGTTCTCCCATACCTACTGTCACTCGCTCCTACTTCCACCACCGACGACTCGAGTGCGCTGGACGCTGCATGGTCGGCAGTAGCAGAACACGAGCAAGCGCTGCTCGAGCCTCTTCTGGCTTACTTGCGCAGCCAAGAGGGGCGCGGAGTCAAGATCTTAGGCGATAGTATGTCCGGTGCGTCGAGAGTGCCGACGGTCAGCTTCGTCGTGCAGGGCGAGAAGCCGATGAAGAGTAAAGATGTCGTGAAAGTGTTCGACCAGAAGGGCGGAGTGCGTACCTCTGAATCAAAGCGTCCTGTGTATGTGTGTGCTGATCTGCTCTCGTTTAAACTTCAGGTCGGCATCCGGTACGGCCACTTCTACGCGTACGGTCTGGCGGAAAGCTTAGAGCCGAAGCTGGATCTTGACGACGTCGTCGTGCGCATCTCGTTGGTGCATTATAACACTGTCGAGGAGGTTGAGAAGATCATCGAGATCTTGAAGGAGGCTTTGGCATGATACGAAGAACCGATCACCGATGGCTGCGGAAAATGTACGTGTAGGATGCAGACATGAATGCACGATGCATCTCTGAGATCACTCGCTGTATTCATTGCTCTGGTTCGTGTATCCAGATGGTACCAGTATATGCGTGCGACCACTGTCTACCGTCCAAGCCGTGAGACGCAAAGTGTGTCATGCACGCCCGAACGATGAGTCCAAATCTTGTTGGTAGGATACTCGCCGCTACCCTACCCTACTTATGCTTCTATGACTCAGTATATATCCTTGCATAAGTTAAGATGTGAAGGAGTGATGAGGTTGGACTGTGAATTAGGTCAGTTGCTTACTGCGAATGCCAAGTCATAGGTTCGATGGTGTAGTTGGTTATCACGTCCGTCTCACAATTTCTGCTCGCAGTCCTGTGCGCACGGGAGGTCTCCGGTTCGAACCCGGGTCGAACCAATCCTATGGATGACCTATCTTTTTATCCAAATGAATGAATAAGTTATCTTACAGTGCGTGAGAGACTGTGCACTTCATCCTGAGGCGGATTTCATATTGTGCAACAGACTTTTCCCAGGTTGTGAGATGTAAGAATGGGTTTTTACTGTTTGTATCCATAATACAACTACAACTACAACTGCATTGATAGCCGATGCCATGAACATACGGAAAGGAGCTAGTTATCGACATCGGACAAGTCAAGGAGTTCATTGCGAGAACCCAGTAATCCCCTTATAATTGATAGTACCAGCTGTCCCGCCCGTAACACTCAAAGCCGACCAGTCCCAAGTACCTGTGCAACCCACATAAGTAAGCCTCGTCCGTCCATGTTGCGAATAGATGTGTGAAGAAGGGGACGCGTGAAGAAGAAGGAGACGCGCGGAGACGCGGAGAAGAAACGCACCGCTGCACGACGACGAGCCACAGTTGACCGCAACACGTTGCGCGCCGGACGCAACGGCAATATTGTTTTCGGTGCCGACGAAGTTCACGTCCTGTATCAGCGCGCGTCAATCAGCCTCGGGTATCGCATCGAGAGTGAGGCTTTGCACTGACCGAGAGTGCGACGCCGTTGCCGGGTGTGCCGAGGGTGGACGGGTAGCTCTGCGATATAACGTTAGGAAACGGGTATATGGTTGAGATGGGATGTGGTGCGTACCTGGTCGATGATGACGCCGTACTTCTTCGTCCCCGTAGCCGTGTTCCCGCTGTACGTGACGTTCGTCACGGACGCATCAGTCGCGTCCGCTTTGGTCTTGATGCGTAGGGCTTGGTCGCTGTACGCGCATGGCGTCAGTCATAGGGAGGAAACCGAAGAAGGGTGTAGGTACTTGTTCACGATCTTGTTGTTTGTGATGACGACGCCGCTCACGGTCGCGTCGCTCGAGATCGAGCCCTGGACAAGTATGAGCGTCACAACTCGGCACGAAATTTTGATATGTGAGCCGTACGATAGAGATACCGTGCCCGCCCGAGCAGGTGTTGCCCGTGAAGAGGATGTTGCTGCCCTTGTTGATGGCTGGGGCACACAGATCAGTCGCGTCTCTGTGGTAGGATACCTTTGAGCGTACCCAAGCAGTCATCCTGGTTCATAATCGTGCTGTCCTTAATAGTCAAATCATGAGAACCCACATCGAAGCCATCGGTGTTGTGGCCTGCAGCACTGGAGCCGCTCGCAGAGTTGGGTTGGTCGCCGAGCGCTACATGTGGCCATTCAGCTTGTGCGGTCTATCTGTAGAGAGACTAGAGCGTACAGTCATCAATGGTCAAGCCAGACATCACGAGTGGAGCTCCGTTGTGCACGCTATAGACCCGAGCGGGCGAGTTCAGAACTTTGACGTTCTGTGCAGTACAATCAGCCCTCCGATGCAAACGAGCAAGGCGCGAGCTCTTACGCTGTAGGTCCCGGACATGTTTATACTTAAACGCTGGTCAGTACTCTCGCGAGAAGACCGTAGTAGGGGGGTAAGAGCTCACGTTATCATCGGCGCGGGCTTCGTGACGCCGCCATTGCCGCCTTGACCATCCTGTACCCAATGTTAAGTACACAGTGCACGGCAAGACACGTTTAACGACTCACCCAGTACGAGGGGCCCTGGCCGTCGAAAGTATGGCCGTTGCCGTTGACTAGTGACCGTCCTCAATCACTGTGGGATGCATTCAAAGGATAGTAACCCTTACAGGTGATATCATCACCACTACAATTTCATGAGATCAAACCAACACACTCAAAAAAGCTCATGCACAAATACATACTCAATCTGCAACAACGGCCCCGCCCAATTACTCACCCCGAACACCACGTCCCCCGCCATATTCACCGTCGTGCCGTCCAGCAGATCGAGCTCGAGCGTCTTGCCCGCGTCGACCGTGAAGCTGTTGATGGTGATGGTCGTGCATTTGACTGCGGCCGCTACGTCGGAGAGGGAGGAGATGGTGCCGGTGCAGGACGCGGCGCGTGCGTCGAGGACTGGGCGCGCGGTGGCGAGGAGGGCGAAGGCGAGGAGGGTGGCGAATGTGTGCATCATGATCGAAACAAGAGACCGGGTAATCCCTAGAAAGCTTACACCTCGCGACTGTGTGTCTTATGTATGCTCGACAACAGCCAAGACCATGGTCAAGCGACCTGGGCGGAGAAGTTACCATGGCACGTATCGTGAGCCCGTCAGTGTGTACCGGACAACATATGCGCATAAAGCCAGAGTTCCTCCGAGGCACCAGTCACCCATACGAACGGGCAACAGCTGCCTTCCGAGCTTTACGAGCAACCGTATCCATGTGACATAGAAGCCGGTTCTCTGATGGACATCGTGGTCGTAAGTGGAGGTTGTAACGGGATAGAAGGCGCATACGGTGCATGCGGGGTTGGTGGGTGTGGGCGGACCGACGGGCCACGGGCACGTACTGCCCGGCGTAAAAGGCCGAGAAAGACACAGTTCGGCGGCACAGGCCTGGTACAAAGTATGACAAGGGAGCAGTAATGAATGCATGTCAAGTCTGCGTGGTCGGATGGTAGCGCTCTCTTGAGATCATGGATGCTCGTAGTAGACGCATACATGCCCGCGCCTTCAGTTACATCGTTACAACTCGTCACGCCCCCTCGCCGGACCCGACGCAGGCACCAGACACGCCCGCGAACCAAGCACGCTGATCTCGGGGGCTCGCCCAGTCCGGTGTCGAGCCTATATAGGTACACACGCGAATCAGCTCGAGTCGCTATATGATGTGAAGGAGCGAAGGACGAACCTCCGAAAAACGTCTGGAAGTGCATCCCTTTAATCCGCGCCGAGGCGTCTTCTCGTAATGTGAGCCCGTCGACGCGGAAGAGCGAGCGGCCGTCGATGAAGAGCTCGACTTGACCTATACACCAGAACGACCATGTTTAGCTAGCAGCACAGAGAGATGTTGGTTGAACACGCACCATCTTCAGCGCCAACAGCGTTCAACTTGACGCGTATGGCAACGGTCGTCCACGTCCCCGCGGCGAACGAGAACAAGCCTCGTCCAACCGAAATCCCGTAGTCGTTGTTGACGCGCGTACCGGGCACCGCGAGAAACGCGCGCTCGTTGCTCGCGGTGAGCGGTGCGTACGCGTAGAGCTCGCCCGCGCCGTCCTTCCTGTCGAACACCAAATCAGACTCAAGACGTCGCGAAGGAGGCAGAGCGTAGAAGGCAAACGTACCGGAACATCAACCTAAAATCAAAGCACTTGCACCTCTCCTCCTTCCTTCCGCCCGTACACCGATACGCCAACTCTCCCATCCCGCCAACTGTCCTCCTCGTCGCATCAGCGCACGAACACCGCATAGAGCCAGAGACGCACATACACCCGGCAGCTTCCCGCCCTTCACAAAATCGAACCCGTCCTCGAACAACACTTCATACCCCACCACGACCTCCTCCGCGCCCCCTTCCAGCGCCTCCCGAAACCGTTCGGGGCCGGAGAGGTAGAACCCGAATCCGCCTTTGATCGGTCCGCTGGGCTTGTAGCTTCCGGCGGGGTATACCGCTTCCCAAGCCTTCGCGGATCCAGATGCGGATGAGGGAGGGGGAGTTGGAGGGGAGACGACGGCGTGCGTGAGGCCGGATGTGATCTTGTGGATGCCGAGCGCTTTGTCGGTGAGGGGCGTTGGCGCGATGGTGGGGTGGTGCTGGCTGATGGAGGGCGAGGAGGTGAAGGCGTGTGTGAGGCGGTTTGAGGGTATTGGTAGGAGGGCAGGGTATTCTGCCATCGCGGGATCGGTAGGATGGAATTCGAAGATAGTTATGTAGCGAATAGCAGGAGTGGAGACGATGGTTTAGAGCAGGTGAACTGAGAAGCAGACTGAGATAATGAAACAACTCGACAAGTTTTATATCAGAATGGCTGCTTCTAGTGTATAGGCATGGGCACATGGTGTAGTTGGTTTATCACGCTCGCTTAGCATGCGAGAGGTGTCCGGTTCAATTCCGGATGTGTCCACTCATTCTGGCCGGTATGTCTTTTTTCGTACCTCGCATCATCACTAGAGAAGAACGTCTAGAACTGCATCTAGATGTACAAGGGCTATGAGGACTTGGCGAATGTCCCAAGAGTGTCTTCAGAGATAGAGATAGATGATACAGCAAGTGGTGATCAGTGATGCAATGTATGATACAAAAGTGAAAACTATGGGTCAACAGCCATCTGATCTTCAGTGCCATCGGGAGTGGTGAGTGAAAGTGCGGCCTCGCGTAATGCGGCGATCTTGTCGCGCATAATGCGAATGCTCTCCAATGGTAATCGTTGCGGCTCGTACGCCGACTCGGTTTCTACGTTGACTGCAAAATATATGAGTACGAAGAAGTGAAGATACGAGGAAAATGCACGCACAGATAAAATGATCTCGTACACGCGCGAGCTCGACGCAACCCTCGAACTCCGGATGGCGAAGCACCTCCCGACTCATCGACTCCGCCCGTACCCGCTCCGGATCCACACCCACCTCGCCCGTCGCCTCATCAACAGTGATAACCCCCGGCGTAAAACACTGCGCGAACTTCCTCGCATGCTCGCGCGGGATAGGCTTCTTCAGGATGATAGCGGGCAGCAAGCGATAGCTGGCCGTCGCGACGGGCGAGAACTTGGCATGGTCCTTCCCCACACTCTTAATGGCATGCATCTCTAAATCAATCTCCTGCCCCGGCCTTAGCTTCATAAGCACCACGTCCGGATTCGTAGGCCCCGGCGGCCGCTCCGCGAACACCTCCCCCTGCTCGCCCTGCGGCTCCCACACAAAGTCGCCCGCGCGCACGGTGTGGTTCACGAAGCGCGCGTCGTCGTCGAACTCCCACGTCGGGCGCTGCTCGGGCTTGCGCACGGAGCACGCGACGTGCAGCTTGAACACGAGCGTGTTGCGGTCTGTGGAGAGCTCGGGGCTCTCGCGGACGGCCATTAGAGCCGGGTCGACGTTCAGCGGGACGAGGCCGATGCGGTGCGCGAGGATCTCGTCGGCCATGACGGAGGTGTTGTTCCACACGTATACATATTCGATCGCGACGGTGGGCACCTGCGCACGCTCGTAAGCACAGAATAACAGAAGCAGTAAATTTGTGGCGCACCTCGGCGATGAGCACGCGTCGCAGCGAGTTCGCGATGCTCGCATCCACCCCAACAAGATCAAACTCGACAGACCGATTCGACAGCCGCTTCACACTCACTTGCAACCGCTATGTGGTACGTTCAGCATACATTCAAAGAGAAGACGCGTCGCGGGGCACACACCTCCCTGAAGCCGTCCAGGCTCCAGCTGTGGTCCTCCCCCGGATACACGCCGGGGTAGTCCGTGCTCGAGACGTGCGTGACGCGCTCTGCGCCGACGCCGACGTGTTTTCGGGGATCGAAGCTGGTGCTGGCCATGGATGGTTGCAAGTGTCGAAGAAAAAGTTCGGAGACGCGATCACGCGGGCGCGTCCCGGCGTTGTGATTATGTAAGGTGGCGGAATCTCGGTTCTCATCCGCAGGCCGCGCTTGCCTCCTACCGCGATGCAGTGCGCCGTTTCTGGTGCTCTCCAGCTCATTACGACGCCCCGGAACAAGCACCACGTGCGACTACATCCAGTCTACCTTATGTTAATCAGCTTATGCGCTCATGTCTCCGGGCTCGCGTATAATGTGCGAGCATGGCCTACATCGAATCGGCACGTCCAATCGCGAAGTTCGAACACTGGCCAGGTTTGCCGCCGCGAGATGTGGAGTCTTTCACTTGGAGCACCGCCTTCCAGATAACTAGTGAATTGTCTGCAGACACTTCAAGCTATCTTCAGATAATCCACTTTGTCTTCAAAGAGACTATGTTTTCTATGAATAAGTACAGTCAATACTGCTGTACAAGATGTGACTATACGCTAATTCTATCGAGATCTGGTATATGGGTCTCTGGGACCCCAGGTCCTGTCAAGCCACTGCATACAGTACTGGCCGCTGATAGATAGTACGAACCGATGGAAGAAGCCAGTGCATGCAATTTACATAGAGTAGCTAGCAGCGAGGGTAAGTACGAGTAGAATGCCGATATAGATGTTGAGCCCGGGATGAATATTCGAATCGCGGTGACCCTTTTGTCTGAAGACAAAAAGCGGATGCGTGGCGGGCTGGTACTGGCGGAATCCGCCACGACACGTGATCCCCGCGCCGCGCCCATTCACGCGTAACCTGTCCGTCGCGTGAGAAAGCGTTATGCGCGCGTCTGAAACATCGCAAGTCGATCCAAAACGCTCCTTGGCCGGTGACCGCGACCCGGACGGTGTAGAGAAGATAATCAAAAGGTCCTTCCGGTATTGCTATGACACTGCAGCCCCTTGCCGTCCTGGATTTGCCGCTCTGCAGGCCAAAATTCGCGGCCCGGCCGGAGCGCCGTGATACAGCCCGGGCCGGTCGTCCATTTCCCCGCGTTTTAGTGACTTCACACCTCGCGCTACTGAACCAGGGCGCCCTTTACATCTTTTGACCTCTCCGTCCATCACCATCATGGCTGATCCTCGCCACTACGCTGCCTACGCTGGCCGCGACAGCAGCGCCAGTGCCAGCAGCTCGTCCAGCAGCCTCGGACGACCACAACAAACACGTGCACGCGAGCCTTCCCCGCATCGACTACCCCGCAGTGGCGCAACATTTCCGACCATCTTGCCCGCGCGCGGGAGGGAGGTATGGGCTTCTGGAAGTGGGCTTGCGAGAGGCGTACGCTGAAGCATATCTGACCAGGCTATGGACCTGCTTGCCGACGTCGCTACCTCAGATCGGGGCGCCTCATGGCACAGAGTCCCGCTCGCGGCGCCTTCGCGATACCGTCGCATGATGGGGAGCGGCTCTCCATTGTCTTCTGACGATGCATATGCATACGACTCTGTACGTCGTAGCTGATCTGCTCCACTCAGCGGGCAAGTTGTCTCGGGCTGCGTGTGCTGACAGAAGAGTTATTCGCGGCTAGGCCTTTCCCCATGCGAGCCCTCCCAAGACCCCGAGCGATGACGACGATCTTCTATCCGGTACAAACGATCTTCTCTGGGCCCTATGACTCGTGGGTACTCACACACCCGCATAGACGAGGCTTCCGACCGCCATTCCTCCGCTTCGCCTTTTTCGGTCGGGCTCTATCTCGCGAATCTTCAATTCACAACGCTAACAGCCAGTCCTGTAGACGCCCTACGGGTCATATGAGTCGCCTACCGCCAATTACAAGCATTCTTCCCACATGCATGGTTTTGACACGCCCAAGGTGCAACGCACGAAATTATAGCCGAGGCGCAGAGCGCTGACGATGACTTTGTATCCAGCTGCAACGCAGGTACTCATCAGCAACGGACGGCGCAAGCGAGGGCAGAGAAGCCACTTCCTCCGCGGGTATGTCCGAGGATTCACGCGCATCATCGCCGTACCTGATTGACTGTATGGCGCCTAGAACCGGACGTTATCCACGTGCAATTTCCCGTAACTGTCGTGGGCGGAACCGGGGCGCCCGCGGGGAAGAGGAGAAGGCATGTCCCAGATACGATGCAGACCATCGCATGTTATTTCTGTCGACGCCGGAAGATAAAGTGCGGCACGCCGCAGGGAGACGAAAAGAGCTGCCCGTACGTAGTCTTGTTTTTGTTCATTGCAAACTCCCAGAGCGCCCGAAACTGATATATCGCATTTTTCTGGCAGCCCGTGTGCGAAGCGGCAGCTGCCGTGCGAATACGCGGAAAAGTCGAACCGGGGCATGCGCACGGACCTCATGCGCAGGAAACAGGAGGCCCAGGGCGAGCCGTACCGTACAGACTCGCCTCACGATTCCAGCAGCGGTAGCAGTGGCAGCTCCGCGTCGCCCACCCCGCCCTCCGCACCGGCTCTGGCACCGGCTCTGACACCGGCTCAGAGTCTGAGCCACCCTTCACACGCGACCACGCGCCTCCCGCCCGTCTCCGCATTGACGGGCGGAAACACGTTCGCGTATCCCTATTTCCCCGCGCGCCCGCGGCCTGTGTCGCCTTTGCCGCGGTTATCTGAGATCGTGCGCCCTCCGGCGTATTCACCGTCGTACCTGGCTGTGGCGGAGAAACAGCATGCGCAGACGTATTATTCCGAGGCGAGGCCTGCAGCTGTGCCTCGGGCGCATAGGTACCCGCATATGCACCTCTCCGGTCCTGCTGTACATCCCGTTCCGCGATAGGTCTCTCTGGCAGGTGACCTTGGCGCTGCCGTATGTTTTGTTCCATTCATGTCTATATCACGGACGATCTTGGACTTTGTTGTTTCTGTTTTTTGTCGGTGTCTGTGCGCATACATGTGTCCAATTTACTCCCCCAGCCTATGGAGCCTGCACAGGTGCAGGATGTTTTGCTCGGTATGGCCTTCTTGATGTATTCTACGCAGCTTCCCAAACTATAGCTTTGGTTCTATTCACTACGTTACGTTACGTACGCCGCGATCTTGTCCTGTGTATACGATTTACATGTCTTCGTTACAGCGAGCATCTTTCTTGTACTGTATCATACATTCAACGCCTTCTTGAAACGAGCGCGACTCGACATATCACGTTCAGTCTTTGCATATGTTTGTGGGAACATCGGGCCACGGCGGCCCGATCTGCGCCACACCCCGCGCCGAAGCCGACGCTCGTCACCGCTTCTAGATCTTGTCTTCGAACCGTCATCGCGTCGGCCACTCACACAACAACATAACGTTCGCACTGTGCTCTATCGCGAACCCACACCAGCTTTGCCTCAAGGTTCAGCTTCCTTGCCGTATTTGGGCGCGAAGTGCCAGCCATCGTCATAGCCATCCCTGAACTTGACGCACACAAACCTTGCTCGAGGCTTATATACAGCGGCCTCCGCTTCATCTACCGCTTCCGCTTCATCTGCGCGATCTCGAACTCTGACAAAGCCGTTCCCTTGCGCGCTTTACGCCTGACCCAGTCTCATGTCATGTCGGGCCCTGACGTAGTGAAGAAGTACCGCACGAAGTGCACGGGCGCCGCGCTCGAGACCGTCGAACGTCACAGCGGGGAGGCGCCGTACACGCTCTTTGCGGCCGTGTTCTGTCCGTTCGTGCAGCGTGTGTGGGTCGCGCTAGAGTTCTATGGGATTCCGTATAAGGTATAGTATGCAACTGCGTCCACTCGTATGATCACTAAACGTCGATCTTGCCGGGATAGTACTGTGCGTCGATGCGGCTATCAAGAGTAATACGAGAGCTCATGGTATTTTACTGCAGATGAGGTAGACCCGTACAAGAAGCCAAAAAACTTGCTTGAGGTGTCGCCGAAAGGCCTCGTCCCGGGGCTTAAGATGGAGATTAACGGACAAGCTCGGGCCCTTAATGAGAGCACGGTGATCCTCGACTTTATCATGGAGTATGTCTGGACCGACGATCTTCAATCGATAGTGATATAATCTAACGAACGTCACGTCAGTCTTGCAGCAAAGGAAGGCGCTACCAAATCGCTTCTCCCTCCCATATCCGATCCGTACGCCCGAGCGCTTGTACGCTTACAATGTGACCACGTCTCGCGCTCGCTCGTTCCTGCGTTCTACCGCTTCCTCCAAGCACAAGATGCGGACGCGCAGATCGCGGGTGGACAAGAGTTCGCGTCTGCGTTGTCTACTTTGACTGATCTTCTTGAGCGTGGTGAGCGCGAGACGGGCGGTGCCACAGGTGGTCTATGGACGGGTGATGAGCTCAATTTGCTTGATGTGACCGTGGCGCCGTGGATACATCGTACTACGATCGTGCTCACGCATTATCGGGCTTGGAGGATGCCGGAGGGAGAGAAGTTTGGGAGATGGGTTGAGCGGCTTTTGGAGCATCCTGCATTCAAGGCGACGACTAGTACTGAAGACGTCTATCTGGACTCTTATGAGCGGTGAGCTGACTGTTGTTGCTTCTTTGGTTCATATGTCTTACGTGCATATCTCAACTTTCAAGGTATGCGAAGAATGTACCCGGCACTAGCCAAGTCGCAAATGCCATTAACTCAGGAAGACAATTACCATGAAGATACTTAGTCGAGCATGCTTAGTACGATGCGCAACTCGAGTGTATGTCATACGCCTTGTTTATGTCATGAACAAACTACACAGTTATCATTGCGCGCCCACTAAACTGAAACGAGGCCATCCCAAAGGGTGAACCCAGCCAAATTAGCGTTGATGACACGCACAGGTGCAACAAACGCCATTGGTACGCTCGTCGTCGTATCATCGATGTCCACTCTGAACTCCCCTACCCGTACTCCATCTACGAAAGCCCCGGTCCCCGACTCGGTGCCCTGCAGTACGATCTCCGTCCAGCCGACCGTGGGAAGAGTGTAGTTCGCGAGGGGATATGTGATGTTGGAGGATACGAAGGCGATCGTGCCATCCACTAGGACGAGTGCATCGTCTGGGCCACTGAGAAGTGTTCCCGCCAGCATTGGCTTCATGCCGGATATTAGGCGCACGGTATAGTTATGGCCCTTCGATCCAAGCGATGTGATGATGCTGCCGTTCAGGATGTGGGCGGCATAGCCATTGCCGCTGAGATCAGGCACGCCAGAGCCCTCTGACGGTGAGGCGAGTGTGAGGTTGTAGTCGACGATCGTCGATCCATTGCTAGGAATGCGGCGGTCCAGGTTCTGCGCCGGTGCTGAGGCTTCAAGCGTGCTGAAGGAAGACGTAAACTGATCCAGGGTGAGATGATTGGTGCGCGAGCTCGATTGCCATGCATTTGCGGCGACGACTGGAATGCCACTTTTCACGGCGTAGAACGCCTCGAGATATGTTGAAGCCGCAGGACCGTGGTCGTTCCAGCATGCCTGAGATAGAGTATCAGTCATATCGAGCGTGGGAGATGATGATGAGCAGCACACCATGATGGATCCTTGCAGAAGCGGGTTGTTGATAGCTGGGTTATCGGTCGCGTTACCTAAGAACGGGTCAGCACAGACAATAGACGAGCTTGGCATAGAGTAGTGTACCTCTATCAAAGACGTGAGGGTCCCATATCCCCCCCGTGTTCACGTTGGCACCATCCCACAAACGCGTCTGGTTCAGCATCTGAGGATACGAGCCCGACTGAAAGCTTTCATCAGGCGAACGCTTGCAAAGCGCGTATGACTGTCACTCACGAATTTCATCACGATGTACTGGAATCCATCGTCGCTGAGTGCAGTACGTCAGATCGATTGGACTTCCATGAGACTTGTCTGAACGCGGGTATACCTGTTGATGACGTTGTAGCCCTGTTCAATGAGCTCGAGCGGATTGTCGTCAAAGAACTCCCAGTGCTGAATCGTGATGTTAGTGCTGACAGATAGAGTCTTTGAAGGCTCGTTAGTGCCCCAGATGCGGATAGACTTGTTCCATTGGCCGATGAAGTCGCTCTACGCAGAGAGCGCCGCATCAACTATCATCACATCCAGTGAAGCATGGCACCGACTGACCATATCATTCACGAAGTTGATGTAGTCATCCGCGAGATCAGCGTCGTACTCATCAGCGCCGATAGAGACTTGTTCTAAAATCTACTTTGTCAGCGCTTTAACTCTAGATGATGTTCATCCAAGTACCGACTTGAGTGCAGGATGGGAAGAAACTCTGCAGAGTATGATATCGTTTAGCGCCTCGATCACGACCACGACACTGATGAGCGCACCTGACCATATGGACTTGACCGTGGGGATCGCGTCTGGCACGGTGAGATTGATCAAAGTAGGATCCGAAGATAAGGCCAGCTCAGGCTTCCACTGAGTGATCACCAGTGCATGTCCAGGCTACCAAGTTACATCAGCGTCACTCGTTCTGATATACCGATGTATGTTGACAGTACTCACAGACTCTATCTCTGGTATGACAGTCACACCACGGGACGCGCAATGTTGTTGGAAGTCCTCAAACTCGGACTGGGAGTATGTCTCATTGATGTGAGGAGTGAGACCAGCAAGGGACGCCGTCTCGGGGCGTAGCCGGAAGCGCGCGTAAGTCGTGTTCGCATCTCCACCTTGTACTGCAGGACTGACGTTGTCAGAAAGGTGCGTATGCTACTCGACGTGTAAGCTGTGAAAGAAGGAAAGATATGATCATGGAAGCTCACGAATTCATTAGCCTTGAACCACGACCCATACGTGCACAACTCCTTCATGAATGAGATAGGGTACCATTGGCGGCCAACATCTGATACCGATGAGTCCATTGCGAGCTCACGGTTGAAGATGAATGACGACTGACCCAGCATATACCCTCTTGTCTCCCAGTCTGGGTGGTCAAGCACATGTGCTGCTGGGAAGGTCCCATTTCCCAAGACAAGTCCCTGTAGAAGCGTCCGTGTTGCCCAGAACGCGCCGCGCGCTCCCTCGCCGATGATGGTCACCGTATCAGTGACATAGAGTAGATAGGCTTCCGATGTTGATCTGCCACTAGCCAAAGTCGAATTAAGCACAGGTGCAACTGCCAAAGATACATCGCCGGTGTTCGGGCTTCCAATGCTGACTTGCACCAAGGTTTTTGGAAAGAGAGAGCGAAGGTCTTCAGCGAAGGTCTCCGCGAACTCGAACAGTGATGGAGGGACCAAAGTCATTCCGTCATCGTCGCGCACGTCTGAAGTTGCGCTGTCGACCACTATAGTGACATTTGAAGCGAGGCGGAAGCCGGTGATGTCCAATAGCGAGTATGATTGAACAGCCGGAACAACCGAAGGGAAATCTAACGCTTGCGCATCTCCGACCAATGCGATGAGCAAGGCGCTTAAAAGAGGTACACAACCGACGCGCATGTTCTGGGAAAGAGAACTACAGCGACTTCCCAGCTTGAAGTTCTTATATGGGTACAGGATACGAGCACTTGATGCGGGGACTCAACGAGGTCTCCACAGAACTTCCTCCAAGAGCACATGCTACGTACGGCGGACCACGAGCCTGAACTTCGATGTCTCGATAAGACGGCTCGTCTATCTTTACAAGGGCAAGAAGCGTTGCGAAGACATCTTGACGATACCGTAGAAGCACTGTAACAGGAATGCTGGCATGACGGGCGTGTTAAGCTCGACTTTCATTCCCAGTATCGTTCGCGAACACGGATGACCTCGTCTTCCTCGGTCGTTGATGACTCTGTTAGTTCGGGCTTGTGTCGTCGCCGAGTTCTCCGCACGAACCTTATTCAGAAGGCGCACAACAGGGTAGCACCTTACTCGCGCGGTGAAAATATTGAGACAGTATCGTTCCGTCCTGGTGGTCGTCGAGAAACGTGTCCGCGCTGATACGCGCGTAGCGTCGGGCCCGGGCCGAGTGTCGGGCCGGGGCTCGCGGGTGGAACGCGCTCGGTGGTGTCCAGCACCCTGCTCTCCTCGTTCCCCCGTGTTCCTAGTATGACACGATGTACTGCCCTTTCGCTCTCGCAAGCGACCGATGACTGGCCATCAATCTTCTGCACCTCGTGCTGGACCTCTGCGCGCCGGATATACAGTTTAGGGCCAGTGATTTACTGGCTTCAACAACCACATCGGAGTGCCTACCGGCTCAAGCAAGATGATGCGACGCTACTTCCTCACTCTAATCTCTTGTTGCATCCGCGGGCTCTAGCCGTATTCGTCCTCGTTGGGCATTGCGCTCTGATTGCGCTCCTGGCTTCCTTTGTGCACCGGATCCGCTAACTCGTCAATTCTTCTCAATCGGTCGCCGAAGGCGCATGCCATCATTTCAGGGCGGGAGGGGAGCCCGTAGACGTCTAGAGGTGCCGCTTGGACCGGGCTTGCAGACTGTCGGACTTGCAATCCTCCTGGTGCCGTACGCGGTCCTAATTGTCTACGCGCACGAATCCGGGGTCAAGAGGACGCTGCTCGTCTAGCGACATATACTAGCCCGGGTGAGGACGAGGCACTGCTTGCCGCCGGCCGGTGGTCGCGGCGACGGCGCGATTGTTCTCCTGGTGGCGCTCGGGGCCCATCTCCTCGAAGCTGAGATGAAGGCCACATCGTCATCTCGCACGCACGGCACACGCCGTACACCGAAGTCGGTGCTCGCAACCACTTCAAAGCTAACTCGCCTCGCCTCGCGTCCGGCGCATGCAACGTACTTACCGCGCCAAAGGACAAAGGAGTCAAGAAGCTGCCGAAGCCACGCAAGTTGCCGTTCTTTCGAGAAAGCTTGCTAGCGTACTGATTGCTTTCCGATCAGCGGTCTGTCTCAGATCCTAATGTTGTAAATCCTTGTGTGGCTCGGTAGGCGCCTTTTTTCCCATCAGCACTGGACGCGCTCGCGCGTGCCACCGACGCATCAACAATTGCGACGATTGTCCCGCCCCTGTTCTTACGACTCCGCTGAAGCTTCTCTGAGGTCCACTCGTACATGTGGATTCTGGCGACGGACTTCGCCTTCCGGGCTCAAGTCAAGTACGCTCGACAAGATACTCTGCCTGGCGCGCCAACCATTGTAGCACGTTACGCGCTTTACCCAGCGTGGACGTCCTGCGTCGAGAACTCACTGTGGAGCGAGCGTAGAGACTGTTTAGAGAGTTCTACGGCTCTAATCGCACATTGATGCGCCGGGCCATTGCGCCGGCTCGCCTCATGGCAGCCTGTCCGGGCGCCTATGGTCCTGGACCTCCTTCTCGGTCCTATCCCTAAATCGCTCGCAAAGGCGCTGCGTGCGTACCTGGATGCAGCCCTGTGAGAAAGTGCAACCCGAATAAGTGGCTCAGTCCAGGATGTGGTCGCCTTCCCTGTTAGATAAATAGTCATCCAACCGAGGGTGGCTCTATCAGGATATCAGGATCGCTCGCTGCTGCACCCGGCCTACTGTTGCTTTCATCTGGCTTCACTTCCTTGCGTTCCTACTTGCTGCTCAACCCTCTTGTACTGTGACCTCAACATTAACGCATTCTCGATGGCACGCGAAACTTCTACAGCATCGACCACAGTGAGCTTCTTTCGCAGATATTGGCAATGACCTCTCGCTAATAGCAAACCAGGAAATTGGACGTCCCGCCAATGCCTTCATGACCTTTCGGAGCGCTCTCGGAGCCTTGCACAAGGAGATCTTCAAAGTTGACGAGGTTGACGAAGTTGCACCGCGCAATCGTGCCCAGGGCTCATATGTGCGACCGTACGACATCGATGAGTGGCGCGCACGCCCCTGCAATCGTGCTCTCATGTCCAGCCTCAGCGACCGGATACGTGAAGACATAAAGGCCCCACCCCCGGGTCCCGCTGGCGAGTTCTTGAAGCCGAAGTGTCAGGCAGGCAAGCTCTCCTCCTACGCGTCGCTGTTATGGAAATTCATCCTGGACGAGTCGGAAAGGCTTCCTTTCTTCCTGTATCAGAAAGAGATCGAAATCGCGCACAAGCAGATGTACCCCGACTACGTCTATCGTCCTAAGCGTTCCCGTAATGGCAAGTCGAAGGATGTGGTAGAGGAGGAGCGTGATATCCTTCACGAAGAGGAGGGCGTTGTGGCTGAGATGCCAGTGGCCAAGCGGGCTAAAACGTCTGCCAAGGGAACTCGTCCGAAGTCCAAACCTCGCTCAAAGCCATCTCAAACCTCGACCTCCACACCGGCGACTCGCTCCTCTCGGAAGCGAACCAAGAGCCATTCGACTACGGCTGCTTCGTCGTCGTCTTCATCTCCCGTCTCCTCCACCGGCGTCTCTCCTCTTTCGCACTCCGCGCCCTCGACCTCTCTATCTCAGTCGCCACCCAATCCCGAACCTCTCCAGATTGCATACTACCAACCGGCTCTTGGCGACTTCGCTTACAGCGCATCTGGATCGTTCTCGTCTTACGCTTACGATGAGTCTCCCCGTACTAGCTCAGTACGTTTAGCATCGTTAATGTTCGTGCGGAAGCATCAGCTGATTCTTGTTTAGACAACCCTCCCGAGCAATGATCCGCCTCTGTACTACTCGTGGTACCCTTCGGAGTCTTGTCTATCGTACCCGGACGTCAATGTGGGGGCCGATAACCTGCTCCCAACACCTTGTTCCGATCCGTGGGCAGGGCAGGCCACGCCGTCAAGCAGCGGCTCGAACCTTGCCCCTTCGCCAGCAGGCGCTTTGGCACTCTCCAACATGCCCCTGCCCTCCAGCGCGTCTACGTCGCTCCTCGATCTCGGTACGGGGGCTGCTGTTCACGCTCCACGTGCCTGCGAGATACCTACACCACCATATGCGGCGCATGTCTCGTCCGTGTCCCCAGCCGCAGACCTTGCCAACCTGTCGCACTGGTCGACTCGCTGCGGTCTTGACGCGACGCTGACGAACTACACAAGCCCATCGGCCTCCTATGGGTTGGGATCAGGTGATCTCGGCTATCACAGCGGGCAGCTCGGCGATGCTGCGGACGGCTTCGACGCATCCGCGTACGGCTTAGGCTTCAACTACGACTACCTCGCACCTGGCGATCTCGAGCTCGACAACCTCGGGCTCGACTTGAGCTTTGACGGCAGCGACTTCGGCTTCGACATGGGTGTGCCCGGCTTTGACTACGGCTTTGACGCCAGTAGCGCAAGCCTCGCCACCTCCGGTACCTTCAACGCCCAGTTCACCGGCTTCGATACTTGGGGCCTTCCGTTTGACGGAACCGCGCCGACGAACACTCTGTCCGCATGAGGGGGTCACCGCTTCCTGTCGGACATCGATCATTCAAGACCATATTGCTCCGTTTTTCTTTCCTCTTTTCTCTCTCCTCTCTCCTCTCTCCTCCCCCCTATGCTACCCACCAGTCTCAGTCTGCTCTCCTATGCCATCCCTTTTCCTCAACTGGCGTCCTCGATCGAGCTTATGTTCTCGAGTTCTGCCGTTGAGTTCTGTCCCATATCTGCTTGCTCCGCGTCCTGTCCTCCTGTATCTGTCTCCCGCTTGCTTTCTCTCGCTGTCGCATGACCAAGCTTTGCATAGCTTCTGTACATTACTGTACCATCGTCATCGCGCGCAGGGATATATCATTTCTCTTCTCTATCTCTCCTCTATCTCCGACGTGAATACGGTGTGATGAGAAACTTCGTGAACGTCAACCGGTGAAGCCAGGTATCGCCAATCGTACAGACCCTCGCAAGGCAGATCTACATCTCTAGTACTCATAATCACGCAAAGACAAGCCTCGCACATCCTCTTCATCCTCCTGCTGCCTCCCCCACTCCGCCAACCGATCCATCATCCCCACCCAATCCTCTTCACTCTCAACACCACTCACCCACTCCCCCACCACATCCTCCCCCATCGCCTCCACGCGCTTCCACGTTCTCCTCAGCAAGAACGTATCCCGATTACACTGTATCCTCCACGAGTCCGTAAAGTTCTCGCCGATAGGCGGGACCGTGCCGATGCCGGCTAAGCCGTGGTCTTGCAAGTATCGCACCAGGCTCTCGGTGTACTGCATACCGGCTAGCGGATCTTCGCCTGGTAAAGCCAGAATCCGATGGCCGATGTACTCCGGCTCGAGACCCGCCGCGCGCGCGGCCTCCTCTCGCGCGCGCAGTTCTTCCAGCATATCCGCGCGAGAAGGTAAAATATCGGGATTGGCGATAGCGTGTCCGATGAGGAGGCCCTGCGCGACGCTGTCGAGCGCGTTGGCGACGAATATGGGGAGGCCGACGAAGGAGAGGGCCGTAGGCGGCAGAGCGGGATCGAGCGCGAAGACGTGGCGCCAGAGCGGACGGATATAACGCAGATTTGTGCTCAGCGCGTTGGAGGTTGTGTCCCGGTCCTTGGGGTACTCGGGTAAGACACCGCCGTTTGTCAGGAAGGGCACTCTGAGCTCGTAGCCGGTGGCGAGGACTACTGCGTCGATCTCGGATAGACGCGAGTTGTCGTCGAAGACTGCGGCGTCGGGCGTGAAGTGGGAGAGGCGGGGTTTGGTGTTGACGCCTGGGATGTCTGGGGGTGCGTCGGCGTCGAGGTAGGGTACGTTTTTGAACGCGATGGTAGTCTGAGAGCGCCCATTAGTCTAAACTCATGAGAATGATGTAGATGACGCGTACGGAGTTTGCATACTTCGAGGCGTGCTTCGCTACGTCTTGTCCACTAGCTGAAGATCCAACGACGAGTACGTTCTTCCCAGCAAAGATAGACGGGTCGCGGAAGTATACAGAGTGGAGTATACTTCGGTTCTCCGATGCTGCCAACCATTCATCGCGGCCCTCGAATATCGGTGCCCGGGGATAGTGGAAGCATCCAGTCGCGACGATGAGGTGGTCGAAGTTGGACAGCTCAGTGGCGCCGCTCCTACGATTCTGCGTTGATACGAGCCATCTGCCCTTCTCCCAACGTGTCTCAACGACTTGCGTATTGAAGCGTACGTGATGCGTGAGGTTGAAGTGTGCGAGGATATCGGCGTGGTATTGCTGGACTAGACTGTGCTTCGGGAATAGAGGCGTTTCAGGGCGAAAGGGGAAGTGTGGGATGGTCACTACACGGTGTATTGGTCAACGCGGTGATGGATGGTAGGGTTGTAGCGCACTGGTAGGATGTGGTGTATTCGTCACGAGTTGAGGGTATAGTGGGGTATCCGGGAGCTCAGGCGGTTCAGGATGTGTGACGTTGTCTGCTAACCTATGTGAGTGTCAGCTCGTAATGTAGTGTGTAGAACTGTACGCAACGTACCAAACGCCTCCAGCACCGGACCGCTGTTCAGCGACTACGACCTCCCATCCCCGTCTCGTCTCTTCGGGAAGATCCACCATGATCGCTTTCAAAGCTGCTATGCCAGCAGTCCCAGCTCCGACTATAAGGATGCGCTTCCCATCGTGAGGAACTTGTGTCAAGAAGGGAGTTTGCGAGCGGGGCTCGGAATTGACTTCAACGAAGTCCGCGTTAGGTGCAGCCCAGGATACCACCAGCAGTGCGGCGATTCCAATGGCGGCGCGGGGTAGTGTGCGCATGGTGAGGGTGAGAGGCTAACCCGCGCGCGGGCTAGTATAGCATTAGATAGGATACAATGCCGCAGCCGTGCACAACATGTTTGTCAGAGCTGGAGTGCGCTATCGTAAGACCGAAGGCTGCTTCATCCTCGTGGGACTTGATGGCATTCCTTGCTGAATCAGCAAGCGAATTGAAGTTCGTCCTTATTCACCACCTCATAAACTTTTACGACTGATATGAGTTTGCGACATGCTGCGAGTGGGTAGGTAGACATGGCAAAGCTCGACGATGCATGCGCGAGGAGAACAGAGGAGAACCGTCTCGCGGCGAGCCTGACGCCGGGGCCAAAGCTATACGCGTGACGTCACGCGCTTTGAAGCCAAAGTGCGGGGGGTCCGAGGCCCGACGTCCTGCTTCAAGACCGCCATGACTCTCTCTGCCAAAAGTAAAAATGCATCGACTCACTCTACGCACCGGGAATCTACGCGCTCCTGTGCTAACCTGTCTGGATTGTCTTCCCTTAGTGCCCTCGGCACCGTGCACACGATCTTGACTACGTGTTTCCGATGCGGGTGCGGTTCACATTAGGGCCGTATCGCGTTGGACGCATTGGGCGCAGCCGTTGCTCGATGCTAGGATGTCCACACGCATAGAGCAACCCCGTGGTGCTTTGGCGACCAACCGGTCCTATCACTCGAGCCCACTTGCCGTCTGCTTCCGGTGCTTAGAACTGGCCGGAGGGTCAAGTGCTGGCCGAGCACGGTGCTCGCGCCAGACACGTCGCCAATCCGTTGACAGGCTGGAGTGTTGTCATTGGTACGACTCGAATAGGGCGGGTGCGAACTGGTTTCAACTCACGAATGCCACGCCACAACTACGCCCTACCGCAACTACTTACGCCCCGGCGATGTTCTCTCTTCCGCGCCACGGCGGCGTTCTGTTTAGCTGAGCGATGGTCGATAAAAAGTCAACCTTTTGCGCCCTGGTCTTGAGACCTCGCACCAGGCCGTTCCACGCGGGATCTTGACAGAGCTCACACATGTTCTAAACATACGCGCACGCGAGCAACGATCATATATAACGCACGACTCTCAAGTTCGCATCTTCAGCACGAATATTGCACTTGCACACGTCAGTATGTATCTCCGGTCTGCTACATCTTGGGCTGCTGTCTGATACCTCCACCTAGCGTCCACCCAGAAAAGATATCAACTCGAGCACAAAATGGGGCGAGCGTCCAAGGCCCTTGACGAGTTCATCGAGAGCATTCCCGACAGCAAACTGAAGCCAACCTCTACCAACGCGGGTACCTTATATAAGGACAAGGACTTCCGCCTCGACATGCAGGGTGTGCGTAGCACACTTCTCCCGGCTTCCAGTTGCAATCACGACCTGATGACTGTTCCGTTGTAGATGACGAGCGATAAACCCCAGAAATACAACCTTCAGGTTCAGATCAACAAGGAGACGAAGATAACCAGCTTGAAGAATTTACAGGGCTCCGGTACGACGGTTGCCGAGTACCAGGCCAACGCCGGAGACAGCGCGGCGATCATTCGCAGCAAGTTGCTCGCTGATAACAAGCTGAAAAATAGGAAAGATTGAGCCTTTGTATCATGTAGTATGAATGGGTGTACGATAGGCGTGTCTCGTAGTCGAACCGATATGAGCGTTTAGCATACTTAATCCGGCATTATGAGAGTTCCGGGAAAGCAACCTCTTTGCATCTAAACGCGCTGGCGTCTTTTTCATCCGGAAATCGCACGCGAAGTCCGAGTTTTTCTACATAAGTCGACCCGCGCAGTCCGAATCACCGCCCAAAACCGCCCAGCGCGTCGACAATGACTGACGCAAACTCTTCCACCCACCGCGACGTGCAATGGCCCAAAGACACCTTCGGCACCGCTCAGCCAGCCTGGTCATCCGAACCCGACCTCTCTCTTCTCGAGCGCATAGCCCGCCAACACCTCCCTGAATCTGAGGACATATATGCTATCTCGCTCTTCGCGCAGGGCGGGTTCAACAAGATCTACGCCGTTGATACGCCCGGGAAGGGCAAGACGTATCTCATCCGCGTCGCGCTGCCCGTTGAACCGCGTCTGAAGACGCTCAGCGAGGTCGCGACTATCGAGTACGTGCGCGCGCACGCTTGTGCAGCCGTTCCGCGCATATTGGCGTATGAAGCGGACGCCGAGGCCAGCGGATTAGGTTACGAGTGGATGCTACTGGAGAAGATCGATGGCGATGTTCTCGAGGCGCGGTGGAGGGATATGGAGTGGGACGCGAAGGTGGAACTCGTGAAGAGTGTCGCGGGCGTGCTGGGCAAGTTCTACGACCGCCCGCTGTCTGGGATCGGCAATATCTACCCCGACGCGCCTGATCCTGGTCGGATCGTGTCAATGCAGTTCTTCTGGGACGAGCATTACGAGCAAGACGTCCCTCGTGGTCCTTTCAGCTCGAGCCACGATTGGCTGCGCTCTTGTCTACAGTTCGTCCTGAACGATACGGCCGCTATTCTCGCACGGCCCGTTGTCGAGGACGACTCGGATGATGAGGGCGAGCGTGAGGAGGCGCTCGAGACGCGGTCTCTCGCTGAACGTCTTGTCCAACTTCTACCACGTATATTCCCTCCGTCATCTCCAGACGACGAACCGGAACGTACGATCATTCACCACGATGATATATCCTTCCACAATCTTCTCGTCTCGCCGACCGGCGAGCTAACGGGCATCATAGACTGGGAATGCGTCTCTGCATTCCCGCTGTGGCGCGCCTGCACCTTCCCGTCGTTCCTTGAAAGCCGTGCGCGGGTCGAATGTCCCGATGTGGAGAAGTACGGGAAGGACGAGGACGACGAGAGCAGGCCGAACGAGCTATATTATGAGCATTTACGCGAGTGGGAGTGCACGAGGTTGAGAGGGGTGTTTTTGGATGAGTTGGAATCTGTCCAGCCGCAGTGGATACGAATGCATAGGGAGAAAGCGAGCGCGTTGAAGAACGACTTCTATTGGGCCATGAGGCAGTGCGATGAGGAGTTTAGTAGGCGGAAGATTGGGGAGTGGTTGGATATGGTGGAGGCGATGTCTGACGAGGATCTGGAGAAGGGCGTATTGGGTGAAGGGTATGTGTCTTTGGACGAGTCTTTTGTGAATTGAATTTGTAAAGCATACGAGCATGCATGCAGCTGTAACATAGTACTGTACGCCTTCAAAGTTGCGCCTCTCCTCTTCCCTGCAGACAGACCTTCACTTGGCTCGGATGGTTGCCGACGCGCATCGGAGAACCTCGCACTTCCGGGTAATAGGTTACGCGTGACGTCACGCGCCTTGAAGCGCCCTTGCGACGCTCGTTGTTGCTTCACGACCACCATGACCTTCTCTGGCGAGAGCAGGGAAACCGCAGACTCCTGTCTGCCCTTTGTATCGCTGCCTGCGAGATTAGCGTCTTGCTCAATAAGCTCAATATGTGAAAATGCAGTGCCTGTATGAAGTAGACGCCGAGGCGATACGATGAACCTGGGATTCTGTTCCCTCGTTCGCTCACAAGCACGAGGCATACTGCAACGACCGTCCTAGCGCACTGCGGCAACGTTCCTCATACCACCATGCGCCTCCGCAAACGATCCTCCCCTCTCAGCCCCGGACGGACAAATACTGGCACAAATACGCCCGAGCGAGAATCGACGCCAGCCCCGGCGCCGACCAATGATGCCATCACCGATATCTGGAAGAGCGCTCTGGATCAGTATCGTGACGCAGTGGGCTTCAACTTGCAGAACAAGAAAGACGAGCTTGTCCGCAGGATGGAGAAGTGCACGACAACCGACGCAATCCTGCGAGTGTTGGACGACGCGGCGCACTATCTCGTTGATCAACGCCGCGGAAATAGGAAGCTTGAGGCTGTGAGGGGGTTCTTGAAGCCCGTAGTAGTGGGATTGGACACAATACTCGATGCGGGAGCTGAGACAGGCTCGGCTTTGGTACGCTCTCAACGAAGAATTTGCTTGACACTAGTACTGATTCCATACCCAGGGAGTACCAGGCGGTAAAGGCATATTTGCGGCTGTGGCTGTGCTTCTGAAGGTATGTGGTTTGTGATCAGTCGAGCAGACGAATAGCTGAATCGGCCCAGGCAGCGGATCGCGTCAGCGCTACCTTTGACGACATGGAGCAACTATTCGAACGACTTCAAGTTTACATCGAACGTCTGGAAGTACGAATCAAGGCACCCTTGCGAGACCAGGCCAAGACCATCGCCGTCAAGGCATTGGCGGAGATGCTGAAAGCCTTCGCTATTGCCACGAAGATGATGAGACAGAATAGGCTCGGTGCGTTCTCCGTGGCACCCACCTGCTCAGTGCCGCTTATCGCTGTCGGCACATCCCAGGCATGTTTGTGCGAGCACTGTTTACGAAGGGAGACTATGTTCAGCACGCCATTCGTGTCCTCGAGAAAAATATGTCTGACAGTATCAGAATGGACATCGTCGACGTGGTGGTCGGCATGCACGAGCTGTCTTCGGATGTGTTACAGAGTGCGTGTGCCGCTCTCTTTACTTTGACGATATCCTGACTACTACCCACCACAAGTCAAGACGTCTATGTCCCAGTTTCTCGAGATGATGCAGCCCCTATTGGAAGGTATACAACCCGTAGTGGAGCAGACACACGCCATGATGGGGACTGTCCTCTCCGAAAGTCGCGAGCGCGACGCGTTGCTGTGGACGATGGGTTTGTGAACTTCATCATGGTATTTGCCATAAGCTCAACGGTGTACAGCCACAGAACTCAGGGTGGCTTGTCGAGCTTTTCAGCGCCATGAAGAGGATAAGAAACGTATATCTTCAAGCAAACTACTTCAGACGCTTCATGATATTGATGGGGATTCATTGTAGGTTATGAGGCGGCCGTTACTGCGGAGGAGCAATCAGCCCGCCCTGAGTTACGCTGGCGCCGCTGGGGCGGTCAACTGTACTGCGTGGTTTGCAGATTCAGTCCCAGGGACCAGGACAGTGTCTGGCGCACCCTCGTCGGGCTCCTTCTTGCCTGCGTCGAGTGTACTATGGGCTTTTCTACTCGCCGCTCCTTACAACAAGCAGACTCTGACGACGATGCTGGCCAAGTAGTCGTCAGGTTCCTCTGGACAACATGCGCATTTCTGCTACTCTTCATGATGCAGAAGCTCGACACGGTGACCCGATCTCTCGGTAAAGCACCAGGCGTTATCAACATCGTCGATATTATGGGTTTCAGCTTGGTGCTTGAACAAGATGACTTTGCGTCATGGGAGGTGCGATATACCATTGTTGAATCAGTTCAGACGAGCTTAGCACATCACATACAGGCCACTCACTCTTTCCTTCTACGTGTCTTCAGCTCCAGCCGGGATCGACGTCATGGACTCTCAATTGTCGAAAACCGCGAGTACGGTCTAGGGAACAACGACCTACTGGTCATTACAGCTGAGCAGTGGTCTCATATTGTAAGGCCGGGGGCTATTCTCCACATGTGCATCCTCCTTCACACGACGGATCTGAGCTGTCCGTACTGTGGGCTTGAAGCCAGTTCCGAAGAGACACTTTCCGACGGGCGCATCATCTGGTACGTTTCTTCGTTGCGCTCACCTGCAGAACTACAGACTTACTCGGTACACCTTCAGCTCTAATCCTGAGTGTGGTCGTACATATGGTGCTCACCAAGACGACTCTAATTTATCCGATCCTGAGACGAGTGATCTGAGGTGCGATATCAGTCACCAAATTGTGACTGATTAGCGCGATAGCTGATGTGTTTCAGCACTTCCCACTCTTTCACGGCTGTCTCGGGTAATACCGCAGGAAAGCTTATACGTGCTTTTACTCGTGTCGTTGTCTTAATTTGGGAATGCTAGTGCGGTTGTTCCTCTCCATCGTCCCCTCAACTCCCGCTGAGCTAGGCCATTAGTCTATCCTATGACGACGAAGACGAATCTTCCGGCGCATCGGGTATGCCATGGGATATCCGCTCAGGACTCGACCTGCCCCCGCTTGCGCACCTCATGCCGCCTGGCATTCCCTATATGATAACCAACACTGCCAGAACATTCCCAGAGCTGACGTATTACGGTGTACACACGCCTGTCCGACCTCCAGCTCCGTGCTGCGTCTACTCTGGCGAACGCGGTGGATTGCCAGGTGCATGTGCAACACTGCTTCCACCGTACGCGATTCTACCAGGATACGGGGAACGCAGCAGCCTCATCCCCGTTCATTTGGCCGACCCGCTTCGGCATCGTTACCATGAGCTTGAAAGGCAGCGTGGAGGTTTCATTGAGATGCCTCAGCGCACCGACCGTCTGCTCGATTAATCGGACTCGAGTGTAGGAGGCTGATTGGTGACCTTATTGAAGTGTCGCACCATCGTTCGCAGCAAACTAGTCCACCTATCATGTCTGAAGGCTTTTGTTTGGAAGAGCTTCGAGTCCGTCAACTCGTGCTAAAACATACAACTCCTCATTGGTGCCTAAGTAGTCTTCCCCAGAATAGTATGCAAAGCGCGGCATTCGTACTAGCTATTATTGCGTAGAGAGCTGTTGCATGGGTCGGGGCATACAGTTGCCTCCGTAAGGTGGTTGATAGCAAGCGATGAGATGCGGGGGGCCGCATAGTGAAGTAACTGGTCGTGGACGGAGGGAAAAGGAACAGGTGGCGGCAACCCGACTGTCAGTTGATCCTTATGCCCGTACTTGAGCCGGAGCTCCCATACGTTGAGCAGGGCTAGGTGTCAGTGTGTGCCATTCTGTACGATCGTGGAAGCGAGGAACAAGCGTCCGCTTCCGGGATTTGCCGCGAGAGCGGCTGCTACTTCAGAGTGAGGATGTTAGGGGTAGAGTTGTTAGGATGAGACTAGCAGCAAAGATCAATGCGGCCATGGGGAGAGCCGAGCGCCTTGGTGCATCATTCCCTGACGAGCCCGCATGCCTCGTCCCTACATTCTTTTAATCCCATCCACCTCCCTCTTCTGTTTCCGAAAACGCACGACGCTTCGCGGTTGGTTTCGCGAGTGGTCGAAACTGAGCTTCAAGCTACTAGGCTTTGCCTCGCGAGGTACTCCGAGTCGGCGGGTCCAACGTGCGGGCGCAAAACGCCCGATATGCGGGAGAGACTCGTGCGGCGCGTCGAGGTCAAAAGGTCAGCTGACCGCGTTTCGGGTCCCGCCGGGCCGCGGGTCAAATCAACCTCAACCCACGAACTAGGAGCCAGTACGGCTCTTTGTGCCTCGTAGACCAGTATTCACTTAAGCTTAAGACTTGCGTGCACGAGCACGTATCCGAGTTGAAGATGTATCTACGGATCAGCATACGTAGATACGAGCGCGCCGAAGGTGCGCGAAACGCAAGCGCGTCTTCTTTCAGATCGGAGATCTGGGCGCTCAACGAAAGAGCGCCTTCTCTTGATGGCTTTCCCGAGCAGACGGGACCGCTTATCCTAGACCTTCTCCTTGGGCTGCATCGCGAGCTTGCGTCAGGGAATAAGCGTGGGCGCCGCCAGGGAGATGAGGCGCGCGGTGGCAGTGGTCGCTCGGCCCGGGGACAACATATAGTCGCCTACAAGGACCCACGCGCATGAAAAAGTTGCATCGAGCCCCTATCTTCTCTCGCGCCTCGCGCGTTCTGCACATTCCTCTCCTCCATCCTCCCATCCTCTCCGTCCGACCCCACCACACAGGACACACGATGTCCTCCTCGGACGAAGACGCGATGGAGCTCGACACCGCCGCGCCCGTCCCGCGCGTCAAGCGCTTCACCGTACGTCCCAAGTCCATCTCCCTCCCCAGCCCTTATACCATACTAAAAATCGCACGCAGCACAAATCGTACGAACGCCAGCTCAAATCCGTGCACGCGCCCTCGGCCCTCTCCACCGCCGCAGCCTTTGACGACGCGGCGGCCTTAGACGACACGGACAGTACGTTCCGCGGGGCGCTGGAGCGGTGGAAGCAGCTGTGCCTGAGCCCCGCGTTTGTCGGGTTCAGCAGCAGGGTGGGCGCGATGTGCGGGAGCTTGAGGCTGGTGCTGCATTATAAGGCTGAGATTGTTGAGCTTTGGAGGGAGAAGGTGGGGGAGAGCGATGTGGAGGGGGTTAGGCCGTTGCTCGAGTATGTCTCTTCTTTTTACTTTACTATGAGATTGGAGAGGCTGATACGGGATACAGTCTACTTCAAAATCTGCTGTTCGACCTCCGCACATCGCTCGCGTCGCACTACGCAACGCTCCTCCACACAACGCTGTCCCTCCTCCCGCGCGCGCTCCCGCCCGACACGCTCGGCACGCTCCTCGCGACGCTCGCCGCGCTCTACAAGCACCTCCTCGTCCCCTCCACGTCCAACTCTCCCGACCTCTTACAGACCACATGGAACGGGCTCAAGGAGGTGCTGGCGTCGGTCAAGGTGCACCCCGAGACGCGGCGCGTGTTGGCCGAGGGATGGGGCACGACGCTCAGGCGGCTCAAGCCTCCCGCGCGCACATCCGCCGTCGAGCTCCTCCTGCACTCTCTCGCCGAGCCCGGGGTAGAAGATTTCGCAGCGTACACGCTCGTAAGCGCATGCAGCAGCACATCCCAAGCGCTGCACAGCGCCACGTCGTCCATCCTCGCTCCCGCGCTCAGCTTTCACGTTGCGGAGGGAGATGGGGATGGGAGGAGCGAGAGGTTGCTGAGGAGGGTTGCTACGGCGCTTGCGCATCATGTTAGGGATAAGGAGGCGTATGCGGATGTTGCGGATGTTTTTGTTCGGGCGTATACGGAAAGTGATGGAGAGGGGGAGGGGAGGGCGGAGGGGGTGTTGAGCGCTGCGTTGGGCGTGCGTGGGGGTTCGCGGTTCTCTCGTACGTCTATCCAATCTCTCTTCTCATTATATCATATATTGATATTGTATATACACAGCGAACCACATCCAAGCAATCGCCCACCGCCTCCTTTCCAACCCGCCCGCCTCGCACAACATCCACCTCCTCACGACCCTCCTCCTCGCCCCCGCCTCCCAGTCCGACGCCGCCCTCAGCCGGCGCCTCGTCGCGCACGCTTTCACATCAAGCGATAAACTCGGTCTGCGGCTCGCGGGCACGCTCCTGGCGGCGCGCCTGCCCTCGTCGGCGCTGTTGCTCACGCAGCATGTTCAGAAGGCCGTGCCGAGGGCGTTGAGGGAGGGAGATGCGGAGGGGAGGTGTATGGCGTTGAAGGTTGTTGCGAAGGGTGATGTGGGGGGCGGGGTTGTGGGCACTGTGGATACGTGGGCTGAAGGACGGATCGAGGAGCTCGTCAAATCGATGACCTTTGACGCCGCCGAGGACGAAACCCAAGACGAACTCGACGAGCTCTCCCACATCCTCACTCTCGCCCAGTCTCTCCCCTCGGTTTCACCCGTGCTCGTCCCGCTCATCGAACGTGCCCTTTCAGCGCCCGAGCCGAAGAAGAGTGCGAAAGCGGCATGGGTCGTGAGCGCGGGTATACGCGCGATCGCCGAGTCTAAGGGGGGGAAGGGTAAAGCGGGCGGGGCGCTTAGCGCTGAAGACGTCGGCCGCTGGGCGCGTACCATCCTCGATCGATGGGCATGGTCCGAATCGACCCTCTCATCCCTCTCCGCCCTCCTCGACACCGGCATAAAACCCACCCCACCCCTCCCCTTCACACAAACCTACGCAACCCTCAAACACCACATCCTCTCCCACTCCCGGCGGCACCGCCAGTCCGCGCTCTCTATCTTGTCGTTTACGGGGGGGAGAACGGCAACACAGACGCGCGTGCTCGATGCGCTGAGGACGGCGGAGAGCGTCGAGGTGGACGTGCAGAGTGCAAGGGAGCGCGTCGTGCGTATATCACGCATACCCAATATTCTTGGAGGTTTGGCTGCTGGAGATGAGGGCAGTGTGACCGTGGAAGGCGATATGGTTGTAAGGTGGCTCGCGGCGCAGTTGAAGGTGGGCCTGAGGCCTGCGTGGGCGCCGGCGTGTAAGGCGCTTGGGGAGGTCGTTGGGAGTGGGTGGGGAGAGGGCGTGTGGGGGGTGCTGTGG